CTGAGAGGATGATACAGACAGTTAAGAACATCCTCCGAAAGTTCTGCAACTACGCGCAAGATGACTGGAGCGACCTGCTGCCGCATGCTGAGATTGCCATAAACGGCCGAGATTCTGCTACGACAGGTGTAAGCCCGTTCTTCCTTCTACACGGTTATGATTTAGAGATTCTGGACTTCCCTGAGACCCCCCGAGAAACCACGTACGCCCGCAGTCCCGTACAGGCGGCAGAGAACATAGTCAGCAAGCTCAAGAAAGCCCGCGAGTGGGCCGAAGCTTCGATGGCCAGTGCTCAACAAGACTATGAGGACCAAGCGAACACCAGAAGGAGTCCTGCGACCCGTTACAGCATAGGAGACAAGGTCTGGTTAGATCTCAAGAACATAAGAACGGACCGCCCCTCGCGTACGCTGGACTACCGTCACGCCAAATACACGGTAGTAGAAGTGCTAGGCACCCACGACTATCGACTGGACACCCCGCCTGGCATCCACGATGTCTTTCATACGAACCTGCTCCGACCCGCGGCCGAGGACCCGTTCCCTTCGCAAAAGACCTCCGACTGGCAACCACCTGCCATCGTAGGAGAAGACAATGAACTCGAATGGGAAATTGAAGCAATCCTCGGCGATAGAACCAATCGCCGCCGCCGCGAATACCTTGTCAAATGGGTAGGATACGATCGTCCAACCTGGGAACCCGCGTCCGCCATGGACGACACCGTCGCACTCGACGCCTACGAATCCTCGCTCGCCCCGGTAGGGGGGGATAATGTGACGGGTTAGCACCCGTTAGTAGTTAACTTACGCAACCAACCCCCTATCGCCCGTTCGCCCTCTCACGTGCTCTCGCGTACCTACGAAACGCCCCTCTCCTCGCGATCCCGCTCCGCGCTCGCGTAGTCTCTAACGATTCCTCCGCGTAACCCCTAACATTCTTCCGCTCCGCGCTCCACTGCAGCGCGACCCCCGATATTCTTCCGTCCCGATCCTCCTTCTATAAGAACCCCCTCGTACGACCCCTTCTTCTGATCTTCTTTCTCTTTCTTTCCTTAATCGATTCGTAAACTGTTACCAGGATAGTGTCAAGTCCGTTGATATTGCCGTTGGAACGGATCGTACGAACTGCGCAGGCGGTACGAACGGTTTAATCTGCAACATCGGTAACATCTGCTTAATCGGTGGCACGCCCGTCACAAGAAGAGATTTTATAATCAATTTATTGTTATTATTATTATAAATAAAAGAGAAAAGTAAGAATATTTTATATATAAAAAAGAAAAGAGAGAAAAAGAGAATATTTATTTTTATAAATTCTGCTGAGACAGTCTGTGTGTATAAATAAATAAATATTTAAAATTAAAAAATATATAATATAGTATAATTAATATACACAGATTATCTTCTTACTCTTCTGAAAAAAACAGAGAGTTTATTCAGACTTATTTTTAATTATATATATATCAACTCAAATTTTTTTATAATCTTTAGAATAAATTTTAATTTTATTATACAGTAGTAACTGAGTATCTTATTAATAATCATTTTTTATTGAAAAAAGAATATATATTTATTATTCTTCTTTTTTTAGCTAGATCTGTATAATAACTTCAGATACTATACAGAAAACTATTCATTCAATCTCTGTTTTTATTTTTTTTAGAGATTATTAACTGATTGAATTATATAAAAGAGTTGATATATTTAAATATTATTTTCAGTTGATAATACTATAGTAGAAGTAATAATAGCAGTAACAGTAGTTGATAAAGAGAAGAATAAAAATATAGATACAGAGATAAAGAAAATCTTAACAGTATTTTTTTATATATAGACAGAAACAGAAACAGACTGAAAAATTTAAAATTCAATTATTATTATATCAATTTTATATTGAATTCTATTAATTTTTTTTTTATTTATATATCTCTAATTTTTATCTAATCTATTATTATATTAATTTATTTTTATATAATATTCAGACTCTCAGAAATCTGTGATACTGATCATTGAAATATTATTTTCTATAAAAAAATAAAAATTAACTCTACAGCTTATACAGTATCTACAAACTACTTATACTCTATATACTGAAATACTAAATTAATTTATAATAAATAAGTTAAAAATTCTCTCTGAAGAAAAGCAGAGTTTTATAGTATTATTATATAAAAATAATCTAACAGTTATAAAAATCTCTGAGCTGTAAAATTATCTGAATTAAATAAACTTTTACTATTAAACTGCTTCAGACTTATATCAGAGATCTCAGAAGAAATAATATAAAAGAATTTATTTTCAGAATAAAATCAGATAAATTATTCATTTATTTATAATTAAAAAGATTTCTTTAATAGCTCTGATAAAATAACTGTAGTTTATAAAAAATAGTAATTATTTAATAAATTAGAATTAAATTTTATAATTCTCTATATAAACTTCTGATTGATCTGACTGAGATAACAACTGATTAAAAAGTTATTATTTTATTATTCAGCTTTGTAAATACTATTTTTATTTATTTTATTAAACTCTATTTTCTATATATTTATAAATTGTCTGATATAAGTTTTTTTTATCATCTCTAATATATCTATATATATAAAAAATTTGTTTATTCATTTAAAATAAATTCTATAGAAAATCTATTTGTATAAATCTTTATTTTTAAATAAATAAATATTATATCAAAATTGATAATAATAAAACTGAGATAGAAACTTCTATACAATATTTTATCTATAGAATAGATAGAATATAATTTATAATATTGAATAAAAAATATAATTTTTATACTATACAACAGTTGAATATTCAAGTCTGTTATTTTAATTTATTTTACTATTATTTATAATCTGAATAAAAAATCAGCAAAGTATTAATTTTTTATTTAACAGTTTAATTATAAATAGATTAGTTAACTATATTTTTTATCTGAATTATTTTTTCAGTAGTATATAATAATTTATAAAAAAATCAGCTGCTGTATAAAAAAGAGACTCAACTGTATATTTTTTATTTTTCTACTATTTCTTTTAATATTAATATATAAAATTCATTATATTCAGTTCAGTATAACTATTTATCAGAATATTTACATCTCTATTTATAAACTTTATATATTTTTATATATATTTTATAAATCTATAAATCTTTAATATATTATTTAAAATCTAATTAATTGAGTAAGAATAAAAGTTCTTCTATCTACTCTGCTGTATATAATATAAATTAATAAAAATTATTTAATACTATTTAATCAGATTCTCTTCTATTATCTATATAATCTTTTCTTTTTTAATATTTATATACTTTCTTTTAAAATGATTTTTTCTGAATAAATAATTGAGAATTTTTTTACTAAAGAATTAAATTATCTTCTACTCAGAGACAATCTGATTATCTGAAAACTTCTTTTTATTATATTATTTTTATTATATAAATAATAAAGATTGAGCAGCAGTGAGAAATTAGTCTATCAAATTTCATTTTTTTTTATATATAAAAATAAAGAAGAAATAGAAATAAAATAAATCTATATATTATTATTCATTTATTCTATTTCTCTATATATATTATTTATATATTCTTTAATCTGCTTTATCTGCTGATTCTTAGTATATTCTCTCTCTATACTATCATCTCTATAATAAAATTATATTGTAGCTATTTCTATATAACAGCTGTTTCAACAGTAGTATCAACAGTAGAGATTATTATCAGTTTTTCTTATTTATACAGAGATACAAGGATTTTAAAATAGATAAGTAAAAATAAGAATAGTTAAGAATAGAAATCAATACAAAAGCAGAGGAAGAAGAATACAGTAGTAAAGTAATAATTATTAAATACATATTCAAAGAAAAGCTGATACAGTCATTGTATATAATATTACAGAAAAGTTATCTCTTTTATATGATTAAAGAAGATAGCTCACTGTATGGAATATGTATGGGTTATTTGGGGGCCTTGGCTGAACACCATAGAAACATGTGTTCAAACACAGGCAAATCCACCTTCATATAACCACTAGTTATTTATATATTTTTAGTCAGCCTGGCGTCTACTCATGTTGGGGGGATTGGGTTGGGTGATTCGTACCCTCTATACCACCATGGCGCTGGTGGTGATCGAGCTCTTTTGCCCTAGTGGCCTAATAGGTTATGAGCCCGTGTAAGCGCGACTGCTACAGGGTGTGCCAACATGCTATCACAGGTTCGAATCAGACCAAGGCCAGAGGAATATCCCTTACTAATGCACATTCTCTTGCCAAGATGGGGGAGATTGGTGGTTAGGCACCCAGGAAGACCCCAGGCCACCAAGGACCAATGGCAGTAGGGTAGTGGAACTTAGGAAGAGCCAGGTTCCCCCAGCTGGCCGGATGGTAGAGTGGGTCCGAGGGGGGGTGTTGGGGGGATTGGGTTGGGTGATTCGTACCCTCTATACCACCATGGCGCTGGTGGTGATCGAGCTCTTTTGCCCTAGTGGCCTAATAACTCATCCCAGGACCTGAAGCCAGAGCATGACAACACAGCTCCAAACATCGAATTCCGCTGGAATGCATTCAACCGTTTATGCTTACTTACCATTCTTCTTGAAACCTCTCAGATACCTGCATAATGCTTAGCTGCAAGTACCACAGCTGTGGAATCAAAGCACTCAATGATGCTGTGCCGCGCATATATCATCGCGGATTTTGCGTACTTCGCCTTGTGATCGATGGTAAATAATAACAGCGCCCATAATCGCAGCAACAACAACAGCAGCAACGAACCAAGATGGCTGCGGTGGTTCTTCCTCCCCCGGCGCAAAAGTGTGCTGCCTTGTTCCTGCTGCTGCTGTTTTCTTCCTCACTGTTGTATTCTCGGCTCTTCCTGTTGCTTTCCTGCGCATCACATTCTTCTCGCGTTTCTCTAATGTGTATGCTTTTCCTTGCCCGTGCGCCCATCCATTCTACAGCACAATCCTGTGGGATATTTGTTGATAGTCCTATTGTTACGATATGACTGCATCAGACCCTGTTTCTCAGGTTGGCGCGCAGGAAGAGCCTACGCGCTCTCGTTCCCGCCAGAAATCCTACCCCAGATCCATCCCGAGATTTCAAGCGAGCTTACGCGACAGACTGCCGTTTTCCGCTAAGAGTGACGTCTTACGGTCGTCCTCTTTAGCGTCCGAGTCTCGTCCTTTGAGCGGAGAATATCACAATCCGAAACATAATGGACATCGGAAATCATTCTCCTCACAACCACCGCAATCGCCCCAATCACCCCAATCACCCCCTATAACACCGACAACCTCGACAGCTCCCGTTCAGGGTGCGGTGGAAAAAAAGGTTCTGCTTGTTGAAAGTGATTGCTATGACAAGCTTGGATTCAGCTTCCCGCGATGGAAAAAGTGGACAATCCTCAGCGTCGTCTTTTTCGTGCAATTATCAATGAACTTCAACACTAGTATCTACTCCAATGCCATCACGCCCTTAGCTCTCCATTTCTCTATTTCCGAGCAAGCTGCTAGAGTAGGCCAGATGATTTTCCTTGTTGCCTACGCGTTTGGGAGTGAGCTGTGGGCCCCTTGGAGTGAGGAGCTTGGTCGGTATCCAGTCATGCAGCTTAGTTTGTCTCTGGTTAATCTATGGCAAATACCCTGCGCGTTGGCTCAGAATTACCACACCATTGTGATTGGGCGCTTTTTCGGCGGTTTATCCTCTGCTGGTGGTTCTGTTACACTGGGGATGATTGCCGACATGTGGGAGCCCGATGACCAACAGTTTGCTGTCGCTTTCATTGTACTTTCGTCTGTTGCGGGGTCTGTCATAGCGCCCATCGTCGGGGGCTTCATGGAGTTTTACCTTGATTGGAGATGGAACTTTTGGGGCCAGCTCATCTTTGGAGCAGCTACTCAACTCGCTCACTTGTTGTTCGTGCCAGAAACAAGGACTACTATCCTGTTAGACAGAGAAGCTAAACGGCGACGTCGGGCGGGAGAGACAAATATTTACGGCCCTAGCGAGATCGATGGGGCGGGAATTACTATGAGAGATGTGGCGATAATCTGGGCCCGACCGTTTAGTATGTTTGTACGCGAGCCCATCGTGTTTTGTTTGTCGCTTCTCAGCGGCTTTAGCGATGCCTTGATTTTCACCTTCCTCGACTCGTATGATTTTGTGTACGCCCAATGGGGATTCAGCCTCATACAAATTGGTCTAGCTTTTATACCGTAAGTAGATTCCATTACGCATAAAGGGTGTCTAAAATTTGAATGCGTTCTAACTCTGCAATATAGTATCCTCATTGGATACTTCATTGGTTATATCAGCTTTCTCCCCGTCATGATAAAGCACCGAAAGATTCACAGAAGAAATCCAAATACCCTTGAACCGGAATCAAGGTTATGGTGGTTGTTATTCAGTAAGGCCATTCTTTCTTATGTTTCTGGATATCTGTGAAGCTGACATGGTTGTTTTACGTTAGCGGCCCCTCTTGAAACTATAGGCTTATTCGGATTTGCATGGACAAGTTTAGGTCCTCCTCAAGTACATTGGATTGCTCCCATGATATTTTCCCTATTGATTGCGGTTGCAAATGTAAGTTGATATTCCCATTCATGTTATCCAAATTAATTGTGTTCATTGTAATTTAACGAGACCATAATAGTACTGCATCTACATGGCGACAATTGACTACATGGTCGCAAGCTATGGACCGTATTCAGCGTCTGCGACGGGTGGTAATGCACTCGCAAGGGATTTCCTTGCGGGGATTGCAGCGATGTATTCAACCCCGTGTGAGTTTTATTATGCCCATTGTCAATGAAAATTTCCTTTATCCTGCTAATATAATGTAGTGTACGAATCAATCGGCAACAAGTATCAACTTGAATGGCCTTCGACCATTCTCGCCATTGTCTCATTTATTGTCACCGTTCCAATTTACGTATTTTACTGGAAAGGCCCCATAATCCGAGAGAAATCCAAATTCGCAAAAACTCTAGCAACCGACAGGAAGGCTCGGAACATTCGCCAGATGGGCGAAAAAAATAGGTCAAATATGGGACAGACGAGTGAAAGCCAGCTCAGCCAGTCAAGCGGACTGATCTATGGGGTAAACAGCAAACATGGTATTCATTAATAATCGGCGTTTTTTGAAATGGATTTCTGTTGGAGAGCTTAGAGAATCTTGCTCTCTGGAATGGTACATCGTGGTATTCGGTAGGTGATATTTTTTTCGGGGTTTTTTGTCCATGGCGTTTGCACCCGCATAAACATTATTACCCCTATATGGTTCGATGTTAATCACGGCGAACGTGTGGTGGCCTGCTTGATTGATTGATTCTTTTATTATTCTTTATGATGGGCGTTTGGGTAAAGGTGAACATAACTACCGTGTGATATACCTTACGTATAGTCATTACTCTGCATAATTTTACTTTTCTTTTCTTTTTTGCTAGCAAAGGGAGAAACAAAGCAATGGGGAAGGAAAATGAACAAAGGGTTGGATGAAATATGTGTAGTACTTGATGAGCCTAGTGCAATACGCTGAAAGTTAAATTCGCCCGGCTCATCCACATGAAAAGGCGCGATGGCGGAGTGGTTAACGCGAGAGACTAGAACTAACTAAATACCAGCTCTATCTCTTCCCTTCGGGGGCGTAGGTTCGAATCCTGCTCGCGTCGTATTCTTTTTTTATGTATTTACTTTTCTCGTCTTTCTTCTTCTTCTTTTTTTTTTCCTATTGAGTTTACTGGCTATTTGATTCCTAATTCCGGAGGCGTGGAAAATAAGTCCGTGCATATAACAACAGTTCAGTGAAATCCAATCTCCACAGTGGAAATTATGGAGCCTGGATGCCTAACTCGACAACCGAGTTTTGGGCCTCATGCCACTAAAACCGCAGCCTGCCAACAGGTGTGGAACATGATTGCTTGATTACCATATAAATTTCTAGCGTGTGCGAAGGGACTTATTTTCCCCGCATCCGTATATTTTTTTTTGTTTTTGCATGTACACACGCATGAAAGCGAGCGTAGAGAGCGAAACATTCTTGAGTGTTCTTGCTCTGCTCACCATAGACCATTCCACACGGTTGTTTCGCCAAAAAAGATCTTAGCCGTTGACCTCCTGCTTGGTGCGGACGCAGATGCAGATTATAAAAAGGGTTGTAGAAATGGAGTGGCAACAATGCACATCACATTACAGTAAAAGACCAGAAAGAAAGAAAGGAAAACTTTGCAAAAGCCGGTTTCCCGTCAGAATGGTGAGAAGAGTGATTTCTTTGTAGTTTTGTCTTTTTTTTTTTTTTTTTTTTGCCCCAGGGGATGTGACTAGTGGGAGGTAAAGGACCTGGTTTCCCTAAATTTATGTGTCAATTTAGACTTCCTCTCTACCAGGGTGTGAGCTTAAGAAGCCTTCCAAACCACGTTGGATTCTTCTGCTTTTCTGTAGTCACCTGCACGGGGGCCTCGAGCTTGCCATATCGCTGAAAGTCCTCCTCCGTCATGAACGGCGTGAACACTGCATCAGTTGGCTGTTTCGGTGTAGACTTTACGGAGAGGTCAATATCACGAATCATTTCCATTGTGACAATTGCCTTGGTTGGAGGGGTCCACGAGCTGCAATTGGGAGCAGACGGTGTGTCTGGACCATTGCTGTTATCAGCTGTGGATACATCTTCACCGGTTCCCACTAGCCTGCGTGCGATGTCTGGGTAGTTCTGTAAACGATGTGGGTGGAAGAGGATATCTACAACATCCTCGCGCCGGCGGAGTTGAGTCTCAAGACGTAGGTATTCTTCATGGTTAGAGTCGTTACCGTTGCCTGCCTCATTTTCATACCTCTCCTTCTCAATAGCGAGCCTCTCTGTTTTCCACCGGAAGCAATCGTCCCAGTGACGTTCCATCAGCGTCTCGTTGGGCTTTATCAGCTGCGCTATCCAGACACGGTCAATAGATGCGTTGAAACGAACCTTGCGGAGCACGTGGAGGTAGATGGTTTTCCAACCGGGGCATTCCACACTGGCATGCTGTGTCCAGCAAAATGATGTGAGGCAGGACGGGAACGTGCATTTCGCGCGGAGATCGACCGGGTCAAAAAAAGGCGGATAGCGCTGGTCGAGCGGCTCGGAGACTGTGTTGCGCGGGATGTTGCAGAGGTCCATAATCGTGCTGTCACTGAGGCGCACATGCGGGCAAGTGGGCAAGTCAAAGCCGTTGAGGATCTTGGCGATTTGCACCTTCGAAGCGTGTTTGTGCATTGGCAGTGTGAGGATGTCGTAATGCGTCCATAAGGTGTATCTACGACCATAGACATTATCCTCACTCAATGCAATGGAGTGAGGGGTTCGCATCTTGTGCAGCCGAGTGGGCCGTCCATCTAAATCTGCAAAGCTAAAGCATTTGCCTGGCTCTACCCAGAAGCCTCTGGTGTGCTTTATGCATGTACGCTCATTGACGGGCTTGTCAAGGTCGGTTGGGTGAAAGAAGAGAGGGAGATGCCTAGAGTGACATGGATCGCAGCAGGCGAGTTTCCGGTTGGATTTAAATCCACACAGTTCGCGGGAGCGGAGAAAATCGTAGATCTTCAATTCATCTCTTATAGTCTGGTTCCTCATGGTTTTTTCAAATTCCTGGCGCATTGAGGGGTCATTCAAGTACGATGGGGGGATTGCCTCGAAGAAGCTGTAATAGAAGCGCTTGCAGGTCAGGGAAAAGACAAGCTTGGAACCCGGCGAAAGAAATGAATGTATGAGTTGGAGAATTTCCCCAGGCAGGAATTGCAGAGTAGGTTTTTCGGACATCATTTTACAACCAAGAGCCCCGGACTTGTTATATTTATGTATGTATGTATATAGCCCACTTTATCTGTGGAAGGTTCACTTGGGAATGGAGGAAATGCCCAGGCCAACAGGAGCAATATCGTATATGGGTTTTTCTCCCAAAGGAGATAATAGTTGTTGATACTGCTGGGTGGAATGTATAGGGTGTCCTTGTCGTTTGAGGATCCCAGCTGGAGAAGAAAATAACCGTTCAGGCTACCGTGAAGCGCCCCAACCAGCGCTTCTCGGCACACGTTAATTTCAGGTGCAGGACGGCACTCAATTCTACTGGTCAGGAGAAATGCGAATTCTTCATTGGTTTGACTGGATGGCGATAGCGTAGCCACGAGGGACAAATGGCGTAGTATTCTTTTTCTTCAATTTTCAATATAGCTGGTCGTTAGGTGAGGCCATCCCATCATTCCGTGATATAACGTGAGTGGCAGCACCGCGGAAACCAAATTGATGGAGATAAAACGGTTCTGGTCATAGAGGTAGCTCCCAGCGTAATGAATGCGGTCCAAGGCTGTCCAGAGATGCTCCAATCGGATACTTTTCTATCCACTGCATGCATGAACAGTCAGCCGGATGACACCTTGGCAGCTGGGATATGGCATATCTCGAAGTATCAGGAGAGAAACGACAACATTCACCTGACATGGGGAAGCTGATTGATTGAAACTGGCGAGCTACCGGGAATAGCGAGCATAGCGTACTGTGCAGCACCGCACCGACCAATGCCTCACCAGCGCCCCATCTTGGTGGAACAGCTTCCGGTCTTGGGACGGGCGAACTGGCTGCAGGCTGCATCAGCCAAGAATCAAGATCTATTCCAAGTGTGAGTGACGTTATCGAGGTTGTCGGAGATCGTAGATGATGAACCTCGGCATAGTTACTGGCAACTAACAGGAGAAGCCTCCATATAGAAATTCCGATCCGTCCTCCGTTGCGACACAAACAATCAAGAATCTCCAACATCTCCTCCAACAGCACCAATTTTTCTGCGACTTACTGTCAGCCACGACGCCTTTCCTTTCCCCACAGCGTGCGATTGTGCCTGTTAAACCACGAGCTAAGGCGCTAGATGCGGGCCAGGCCTTAGCTGGTACTGTCTCACACCAATCACCACAGTCATCAATCGTATCTCGTCCATTTGTTGCCCTCGGAGTGAGCTCAACACGACGTATTCCTTGAACTGGGCCTCGGTGTCATATGCTCTAGGCAATGATTCTGAGTTTCGCTGTAAGCCTCCCTTCCTCACGGCAATTGCGCTTTTGCTTGTATATCTCCATTAAAAATACGCATACACATGTAGATATATATATCTATGGGTTCTGGGTGGATTTCCCCACTCGTCCTACGTTACCTGCGTGAACTATATCCTATAACCCAGCTACCAAATTATGGCTGAAAGAAAGAAGCCGTTCACTAATGTTCTCAATGGTCGCACGGCACAGAAATCGCCCTTCACGGTCGATGTCCCGGGCTACGAGGCTGTCCAGGGAGAAACCATCCCTCGCCGAAATATAAACTACAAGGACCAATTACTTCAGCGACCAGAGGACTCAATCAACACCGTATATGATATCGTCAAGCGGGGGGCTGCGAAGTTCGGTAATGCAAAATGCATGGGTTCGCGAGAGCTTCTACAGGTGCACAAGGAGAACAAGAAGGTGAAGAAGCTGGTGGGCGGGGAGGAGCAGGAGGTGGATAGGGAGTGGTCATACTTTGAATTAAGTGGCTACAACTTCATCAGCTTCCATGAGTATGAGAAATTGACTCTACAGCTCGGGGCGGGTCTGAGGAAACTTGGCCTGGCCAAAGGGGATAGGCTCCACCTTTATGCAAGTACGAGGTAGGGCAAATAAAAATACACATCCACATCCAGCTGCTGGTCCTGTTGCTTACTTCTGCTAACATGCCTTTCCCCCAGCGATCGGTGGCTTGCAGTGGCCCATGGTGCGATTTCGCAGTCCATGCCTATTGTTACCTCGTACGACACCCTTGGCGAGGAAGGGCTGCGGCATTCAGCTGTAGAAGCTGGTTCCAAAGCTCTCTTTACAGACCCGCAGCTTCTGGGCTCAGTCGCTAAATTGCTGGCTGATGCTAGATGTATCAGAGTGGTTATTTACAACAAAACCTGCTTGCTCCAAGAGGAGGCGTTGAGTTCCCTGAAATCTGCACATCCTATGGTGACTGTTATCAGCTTTGAGGAGCTCAGGAAGCTTGGAGAGGATCATCCCGTCGAGCCTGTTCCTCCAGATGCGGAGGATATGGGCATGATTATGTACACTTCAGGTGCTACGGGACCTCCAAAGGGTGTATCCCTGAAACATAAACATGTTGTTGCTGCTGGTATGTACGATGTTCAACTGGTGCGCACCCGACTAAAACTTTGACAATCCTTCTAATCAGTTGTGATGCAATAGTTGCTGGAATCGATTCGATGATTGGACCCCATATTGGTCCCAGTGATACTGTCCTAACGTTCCTCCCCTTGGCGCATATTTTCGAATTTGTATTCGAGCACGCAGCACTGTTCTGGGGCAGTCCAATGGGCTACGGAAACCCCAAAACGCTTGCAGACATATCCACCCGCAACTGCAAAGGTGATATCCGTGAGCTCAGGCCAACCCTGATGATCGGTGTTCCGGCTGTGTGGGAAACCGTGAGAAAGGGCGTCGTTGCAAAAGTTGGGCAGGCTGGGTTAATCTCGAGAGCGCTCTTCTGGGCAGCTTTCTACCTCAAACGTGCGCTCGTCAATCATCAGTTTGGCTGGTCGGCTATTTTGAACTCTGTAATCTTCAAAAAGATCACCGAAGCCACCGGAGGCAGGCTCAGGTTCGTTATGAATGGAGCTGGGCCCATTGCTCGAGAGACGCAAGAGTTTATCTCTTTGGTGGTAGCTCCCATGGTTATCGGATACGGTTTAACCGAAACATCCGCGTAAGACTAGCAAACTTCCTTCCAATGATTTTTCTGAAAAAATAAAAGAAGATGGTACAGCTAACCGCAAAAACCCGATAGCATTGCGTCTGTTTCCGATCCATGGGGATGGTGCCATGAGACGCTGGGCGATATCCCCGGCTGCGTTGAAGTCAAACTGGTTGATTTCCCGGAAGCCGGGTATTATACAAAATCTACGCCGCCACAAGGCGAAATCTGGGTTCGAGGGAATAGCATAATGGAAGGATACTATAAAAACGAAGCCCTGACGGCCGAAGTCATGACAGCGGATGGCTGGTTTAAATCCGGGGATATTGGGCAGTGGGATGAAAATGGCCACCTCCGAGTCATTGACCGGAAGAAGAGTCTAGTCAAGACTCTGAATGGGGAATACATAGCACTGGAAAAGGTATGTCTTGGTTTTGGATAACTCTCTTTTGACTTTAACCGTTTTTTTTTTCGGTTTTATTAATATTAACAAGACGGGTTTGGGGTAGCTCGAATCCGTATACCGGACTGCGAGTGTGGTGGGAAACATCTGCGTTTACGCGGCACCCGATAAAGCCAAAGCAGTCGCCTTGGTGGTCCCCGTTGAGCAGGCGTTGAAGAACGTAGCTGTAGAGAACGGCATCCAGAGCCAGGATCTCGTCCATGACAAGAAACTTCGAAGTGTTGTGCTGCAGAATATGCAGACGATCGGACGGAAGGCGGGGCTTACTGGGTTGGAAATCATTGATGGCGTTGTGCTCGTGGAGGAGCCGTGGACGGCGCAGAATGTAAGTTTCCTTCCTCTTCGAAGGTTTTTTTTTTTTTTTTTTTTTTTTTTTTTTTTTTTTTTGGCCTTAAGCCTTGAGTGCAGTAAGCGGGCTAACGTGTTTCTGCAAACACAATCTTAGGGGCTCACGACGGCGACGGATAAACTGAACAGGAAAGGCATTCATGACAAGTATAAAGCTGAAATCGACGATGCGTATGAGCGCGGATAAGAATGCAGGCCTCCTCGCAGAGCAGTATTCGTCACCCCGCTACAATGTTCCTTCTAAGCCGTCAGGGCTTGCGCTTTTTGTACGACATAAATATGTATATATTCATCATATTAACCAACGGGTGGAGTTATTTAACGAATGGGGCGGATGGCGGAGGACTGGGGATACGGAACAAAACCAACCCTGGACGTCCTGATCTTCAGCATGTATTTAAAAATGCTTTTCATCTGGAGACCTGACATGGTGGATACATGGCCTGCACTTTCTAGTGAAAGAGAGCGGCGTGGTATTTTAATGTATCGGCATTGTGTTCCGGCAGTTGCACGTAGCATTTTTGTGGTTACGATAGTCATGAACGAGATGTATTCATTCCCCTTTGCGAGTGATTGATCCACAAGGACAAGAAATCAATTGAATGTCTTATCTATACGCCCGAGCCATTTTAATCCCACCCTTCCTTGCATTTCCCCTGTATGTATGTGAATGGAGGCCATATGAACTTTGATATCTCCAACGCGCGTATATGGCATTGTTGCGTTGGCATTGGATAGAGATCAACCTCTGTTCGAGTCTTGAAGAGCGGCTGCTCCTGGCGGCTCCTGGTGCCACCTGCGTCATGGTCTGACGTTCGGCCATTCATCAGCCAGCGAAACAACAGTGCCCGTTCAACGTTGACGGGGGCCATGTGGGTGGCGGTTCTAGGTGCAGTCCAACGCGACGTTGGCGCGGGTGTTGCTGGGGAGTTGGGGAATGCAACGTCAACGTCAACATCAATGGTGGCGCCGGGCTTCTGGATTGGTGGGCGGTTGGGGTGGCCTGCAGTGGTTCGGTTCACTCGCGGGTGACGGAGCCGGGTATGCGGGTGCGGAGGAAGGGATGGTTGTTTCGGGACCAATTCGGGCTTGGGTTGTTTCTAAGTTTCGGTTTTGTGGATAGAGTCAGAGGGGGTGAGTGGCGGCGGGTGCTGTGCTGGAGTTGCGAGTAACCAAACCATCCTGTATATAGCTTCATTGTTGTTCATTCAATCTTGAGCGACGTATATATTTGCATATGGTTCAACATATATAAGAGATATCACAAGAGTAACTTTGCAGCTCGCGAAGACAATACTAGTAGTAGCAGTAGTAGTAGATGATAATATCAACATGCACCAGAGCAACCCGTACCAGATGGCATCTACACGGCTGGCCATCAAGGTATACGGCGCTTTTGCTTGACCTTCAAAGCACATCTTCCGGGAATATGTAACTACTAACAGTCCCTTGATCTATCTAGATACCTTCCTCTCGGCCCGGTTGACTCGGGCTTGACTAGTAACTAGCTTAGTTAAATCGGATTCAAAAGCTTCAAGCTTCCCCATTCTGTTCCGTACAATGGTGACAACTTAGCCAAACCGCAGTTGAAGTTGCTCCATGAGCTCACTGATTCTAGTACTCCTGCAAACCTACTGTTCTTCTGTGTCTCGTTCAGAATAAATAACTGTATTAGTTATTGGGCAACTCGAGAATATGCATATACATCCTCAGTCCGGTCCATCCGTTGTTTGCTTGACTGGCTAACTGGACAACCAATCCTCAATCCCAGGCACAACGAAATACGAAATCCGCTGCTCTCAGCTAAGTTACTTACTGCGTAATAAATGATGGGTTGATTACTGCGTAGGCCTTAACGCCAAAGGCCACCATGCAGCAAGCTTCCAATGTCCAAACCCGCAAAGCCCTCCCACTCGCTTGCCAGGATGCAGGATGCAGGATGCAGCCCTGTTGGACTGAATGAACCCTGTATCCAGCGCGACTGGAGTCTCCCTTCCCCAGGGATATGTTGATGGCCAGATGGCTCTGCCCGATTGCTCTCTCCCTTCTCCCTTCGCGGCGACCCGAGCCCGCTCCCGGGGTAGCTGCGAGCATGGCCTGGACTCTCGGGAGTATTCAACAATAGCACTCTGCATGGGGCTTGTCTCCTATATCCCATAATGATCCGCTGTCAGCGCTAAGTTGTTCTCTAACTAACTAGTTAACTGATCAGCCGCTAGGGGCTGTAGGAGCATACGCAGTATATAAATATCAGTACCTAGGCACTAATCAAGGAGCCCTCGAAATCCAGTTTCTACTGAGGCTATTCTTCCAGCATCGAAGGCGCCCGTTTGGATGCCTTTGGACTGCGGTTAGCTTCTGAGTTCGGTTATGGCACGACTCCGCGCTGGACTACTGTTCCTGTGTCTGTGGCTGCTGGCTGGTCCTGCGGCTGCTGAAGAGCGAGGTTCATATCGGGTCTTGGACTTTGTTGACCCGCTCATAGGGACCACCAATGGAGGTTGGTTTGCTATCCTGCCGTCCTGCTATTCTGCCGCTGCTTTGTGAATTTGTATTTCGCCTTGCTTACCTATTTCGATTCCAGGCCATGTTTTCCCCGGTGCGACTTTGCCCTACGGTAAGGGACCCAGAGCGATCTCTTTCGGGAAGTGCCCTGGAGGGCGTACTCTATCTGTCTAACCCACTACATAATAGGGATGGCGAAAGCAGGACCTGATACCGACGGAGAGGCTCAAGGAGGTTTTGACGGGAATGCACTCTCCGTTCGGGGTTTCTCCCACATGCATGATTCAGGCACTGGCGGGGTATGCGGATATATTTCCTATTTCCCTCCATATGATGACCCCTGAAAACTTGATGAGTTTTGGGCCAAAATAGCAGTGCTGGTCTCTCGTCCCCCATGACATCAGTTCAAGATCTTTCTAACTCGCGCCTTATTTGCCACAGAGCTTTTCCTTTGGAGCTTTCTCCTTGTTCGCTCACTCATCCTGCCCGGATGACAACATGAACAAGTGCAAGTTTGATAAGCTTGCACGTGCAACCCCATGGGTTAAGGACAGTGCCAAAGCTAGCCCTGGCTATTTCGGCATCACTCTCCAGAATGGGGTCACCACAGAGATGACGGTGACCAACCGCAGCGCTCTATATAAATTTAGTTTCCCCGAAAATCCATTCCCCGGCTTAGACGTCCCGCTCAGCCCGTTCATCATCGTTGATTTGTCTGATATGCAAGGCACGCGCCATCAGAGCAAGGTTTCCGTGGATCCAGAAACCGGACGAGTGAAGGGTGGTGGTTCATTTAGCCCCAGCTTCGGCAAAGGGACATATCAGCTATATTTCTGCACTGATTTTCAAGGAGCGGACGTCCGCCGGGCGGGTATATTCAAAACTGAAGACGGGAAATCGATACCCGTTCTCAGAACAGATTCCAACATAGTTAGTGGACTTGACACCGATAGCGACCTGTTAGGAGCGTTTGTTCAGTTTCAAGCGCCGGATAACAGAGAGTTGATCGCCCGTGTGGGCCTGAGTTTTATGAGTATCGATCAGGCTTGTTCCAATGCCGAACGAGAACAACCATTTTTCGACTTTGATGCCACTGTGTCAGCTGCTGAAGAGGTATGGGCGCAGAAGCTTGGGGTTATCGAAGTCAATGCGGTAGGCTTGCCGCGGGAATTTGAAGTTTCTTTCTGGAGTGGGGTTTATAGGACACTTATCAGCCCTCAAGATTATACGGGTGAAAACCCTTTGTGGAAAAGCGATGAACCATATTACGATAATTTTTACTGGTTAGTAGAAATGCTCTTTTTTAACCTTTTGTCCCTTCCAATGAGTTGGGATGGATCCAAGAAGGAAAAAAGAAAGTTCTTAACGAGTTATTGTGTGTAGCATCTGGGATTCCTTCCGTACCACCCATCCATTCATAACAATTCTCGACCCTCAAGCTCAGGCGAACATGGTCCGCAGTCTAATAGATATTTATCGACATGAAGGCTGGCTTCCTGATTGCCGCATGTCCCTATGCAAGGGATTCACCCAAGGTGGCTCAAACGCAGACGTCGTTCTTGCGGACGCCTTTGTTAAACGTCTCCCTGGCATTGATTGGAAAACCGGGTACGAGGCTTTGATCAAGGATGCAGAAGTCACTCCCCCAGACTGGAGTATTGAGGGTCGAGGAGATATCGAGGCCTGGAAGTCGGTGGGTTATGTCCCCGTTGACAGCAAGCCGAAGGGCAGAGGCGTTCGCTCACGAAGTGTCTCGCGCACAGTCGAATATGCATACAACGATTTCTGCATTGCATTATTGTCGAAAGTATTGGGGCATGAGGAGGACTATATCAAATATACGGATCGCGCGAAATTCTGGAAGAATCTATATCGGGAAGACCAGACCATTGTAATCAACGGGACGGACACGGGCTTTGTGGGATGTCTCCAACCGCGTCATGAGAATGGAGAATGGAGTTACCAAAATCCAATCCAATGCAGCCCCCTGCTTAACCCGCATTCATGCTATTTGAATGAGGATGGTGGCGAGTCATACGAAGGGAGTCTATTCATGTACACCTTGTATGTTCTCATATATATGTTCCTTTTCTTTTTTGTCCCCGTAATATTACTCCCCTTAGATCCATTCAATCGCTCACAAAAAGAGTATCTAGCTATGTTCCCCAAGATATGGCAGCGCTCGTAAACACGCTAGGAGGACCCGATGCATTCACCAAGCGTCTAGACTACCTGCACGAATCCGGCCTGCTCTACGTGGGGAACGAACAAGCCTTCCTCTCGGTATACCAGTACCACTACTCAGGTCGTCCCGCGCTCTCGGCACAGCGCGCCCACTTCTACATCCCCTCGCAATTCAACAATACCCCCAACGGCATCCCCGGCAATGACGACAGCGGAGCGATTGGCTCGTTCCTCGCATTCGCGATGATCGGCCTGTACCCAGTCGCAGGCCAAGATGTATACCTCATCACCCCGCCGTTCTTCGCCGAGGTGAAGATCCGTAATCCCCTCACGGGGAACGTGGCGATTATCCGGAATATACACTTCGATCCCTCGTATCGGGCGATTTATATCCAGCGGGTGAAGCGCGATGGGAAAGCTTGGCGTAAGAACTGGATCGGACACGATTTCTTTGAGAACGGGGGTGTTTTGGAGCTGATTCTAGGGAAGAGGGAGAGTAAATGGGGGACACGGATGGCGGATTTGCCACCCAGTTTATCCACTGGAGGGCATTTAAGGTGGCAAAAGGTAACCGGTTGAAGCGCGGAGGTGGTGCTAGTATTGTTAAGAGCTAAGTAAGCTGAGTACATAGTTTTCACTTCACTCATTAGTTTTCAACGTGGATGGGCGATTATTTGACGTCTCTTTGGCCGAAAGGGAAGTTCTCAATGTTTTCTTCATTCTTCTTCATGATTAGTTACGCGATATTATTACTGTCCGCTGAATAGAGACCCCCATCAGGGCCTTTTTATTAATAGAGAAAGAGAATGTGATGCACGGTGCGCCCAAAAAGATTAATATTACTAAATCTAAACCTAAAGTTAAAGCTAAAGCTAAAACCCCTGGACAATAAGAAATATATATAAGAATGAAGCTGAGGAATGAATGATCTGTGATCTTTCTTTCGAACGTAGAGGGTTGAATATAGTTATGTATATTAATGTTAAGTATTTTTAAGGAGGCCATGCATGTATGCATCACCCGTCTAACCAACCGCAAGAGACATAGTAACAATTAGAAAAAGGAGAGAGACAGAATCATGGCAAAAAAAAAAAAAAAAAGAAAGAAAGAAGATCGCCAGCAGGAAATAGCAATCAAAGTTAATAATAAAACACGAAGATGGAGATCGTGTTGAGTGTCCCGTGGCCTGTCATGTTGTTGAAGATATTTAAAATATTATTAAGTATATTTATACACATATCACCGAAATCAGCAAGTCAAGACACCCACAATAGGAAAAAAAGACTTCAAGAATCAAACAGGCAAAAAGCTATGTACTATACTATACAAATGAGAAAGGAAGGGAGAAGGGGGGGGAGGTTTAGCGAAGGTATATACGAATATTGTGTATGAACTTTTTAATCAAGAAAAGAGAACGGCTACACTCCTCCCATTCATATTTTATCAGACAATGCTGCTGAGTGGTAGTGTACATTTGGAGCATGGGGTGATGTAGAATGAAAAGTAATGTACAAAGGTAGTTCTAAAGTTGAAAGAAAACAAGGGGAAGAGAAAGAAAGGGGAAATCCCAAAGGCAAAAAGAAAAAAGAGAGTAAGGTATCTGAAGAGTCAAGAAAACATAATTCAATCAAATAGGCCCAAAAATAACATAGAAAATCTCGCATCTGCGGAAATTTTTGAAGAAGTCGACTGTAGAAAACATAAAGTGGTGGTATTACGAAAACAAAAAATTCTACACAAATATGGAGTCGGGCTTGAGAAATGACAAGATATTAAAAAGTGGAAAGCGGAAAATGAAGGTAAGCGTATATATATATCTTAGAAGCGGTAGGAAAAGGACAAAAAGAATGAAAATTGTGTCATGAAGGGAAAAGGAGAAAAGGGCTATGGAAGCAATGCAAGTGCAAAAGGAAAGAAAATGCTAGCTGTGAAAATTGCAGTGATGAAGAAAGCGAAGTAAAAATTTCCTAGTTGTATCTGACTGCAAGCTGAAATCGACTTACCAATATGACAAGGTGATATGGTGTATTCATTGAATAACAAGTAAATAAATAATGAAAGCCTTGCTAGCTTTGCCGGGACGAGCCAATATTCGACGAATGTAGGAATTTAGGCTTCTAGAAAAATAGGCCGCGAAGTACATGTAACTCCACGGACGATCAGCGTACTTCTTGTTTCCAAGTAAGGCTTCGTAGTAATAAAGAGTTGGTTCCGGGAAGAGGTGCGGTTATCGCGAATCAGGTGAGGTAGACGCGGATCGTTTCGTCCATCCACTGAAAAACCCGCCAGCAGAAATGGCTGCGTTCGAACCTTGCATTTTAGAAGATTCCGTGGGGGAGTTTGGAAACATTCTCGACTTCGGAGGGCTGTTGACAGTAAGACTGCGTGCCAGGTCAATCGGACCTGGCCTTCTCGCTAAGTTATCTGTCGAACAGCTCATCAACTTCCTCAGCGAATCCAATTTTCCTTTCACCTCTTCGAGCTCCTGTCGAGCAACCGCCTCCGCAGTTTTTGCATTGACAAGCTCAAGGAGAAGACCCTCGTCGGGAACCACGCGGGAATCCTCGTTGGACACGAGCGCTTGTGCTCCAAGGGTGCTGGTTCGTTTCGAAAAGGTAGAAGCTGATGAAGCAGTTCTGCAAAGCTTGAATTCACGCAGGCCAGTTGATCCCCTATCCGAGGAGCCTGATGAGCCTTGAGGCTCGTGAGGGCTCTCTGATGGGGAATTTTTTCTCACACGTAATTCTTGGATAGCTTTCTCGAGCCGTTGTTTGTCTTTGTGGAACTCCTGTAAGCGAGCTTGTGCCTTTTTCAGCTCGTCTTTCATTTGGGAACACTCTACATCCTTATCGTCAATGCGTCTGCTCAAATCCTTACAAATCGAAGCTTCCTGTGCATATTTCTCCTTCCACTTAATCATCTCATCTCGGAGCTCGTGTTTTGTTTGATTTATTGAGACACGGCGAGATGCCGTAGGAGAAAATCGATTGGTGGCTTTTGCAAGTAGGGCTGCATGTTCATCATCGGTAGAATGTTCTCTCAAATATTCTAGCATCTGTCTCCCAGTTTGCTGATCTTCTTCTCGCTCCTCCCTTTCCCTTTGGAGCTCTTCAGCCAAGGCTGCTTGTTCACGCTGCATGTCCGTCAGAGCCGTCAGTAGATCTTCTATCTGACTGTGTAAGTCTCTGTCTTGGTTTGACGTTCCAGCCATCTTCGTCTTACGATTGATCGAATCCACGGCGGATGCTGAGACTGGTGATGGTTCTGTAGGGGCGGTACTAGCATCAGATGCTGACTCGCAGGAATTCAATGTAGATGCCATACTTTGTTTGGACGGAGTGCGTCGCACAACACTAGAGGGGCGTGAAACCGGCGGAGGGGGATTGAGGTTCAGAGTAAGGGACCTGGAAGAATTATGAGATCCGGATCCGGCCCAAAGCCGTCCTAGAAACCTGGAAGCGACAGCCTGCATTTGAGGAAAGGAAACACTAGTTGAGGTTCCTTGCGATTCTTTATAGCTTATTTCCAGTTGCTGGAGGCTTTCGCGTGTCACAAGGGAGGTCAAAGATACAAAGTCATGGACTAGTGCATCTGCGCTACCTCCATACCTATCGGGACAAATACGTTAGGTCATGGTTACCGTGGGAAGAAATGGGGCAACACTCACGTATCCCATATACTTCTAGCTAGCAAAATTTGCATAACATCCTCAAATTCTTCGCATGCTAGGAGTTTTTTCTGGTTTCGTTGCATGAGCGAAAGAGCCACTCGCATCAATGTTTCACAAGCTCCCTCCAAGAGCAAAACATCGTATATTCTAAGAAGCATTGGAAGTGGACATGTAACACCAAAGAAGGATAAAAACCATTGCGAAACATAAACCGGCTCAATTTTCAGGGATTCCAAATGAGAATGGAGCTCTGGTAGATGTCTTGAGAGGAGTGCCTGGAACTGATATATCCGTAAATGCAAGCCAGAGAGTGTTGGCAAGAAACAGGACCGGAGATTGTAATGATCCATGAGACTGTGGAAATGCAATGGCATTAGTGGGCGATAAAATCGCAGGACACAAAAACAATTGTAGTGCACATACCGGACAAGCACACAAAACGCCTCGGCATCGCTCATATGCATTAAAAGAGGGCCAACAACAAAACCCAATCCCTGGCAATACCCAATCTTTTCATCATAAAGACTAAAAGACCTCAATACCCTTCCTAACATCTGTTGTCCCTCTCCATTAGGATCGCGAAACATCTCCACACTTGGGAAACTTCTACCAATATCTTTGCCAATTAAGCCCTCATACGGACTGGTCACTCCGGTGAGTCTCGCAAATTCATCTAAAAGATCTGAATCTCTAGCACCTGCGAGGCTGGGCCATACCACTCCTCTTAGCGGTGGAGGAACACCTGCTCTTATCTTGTTTGAGGTTAATGTTGGTAATCGAGAGGCAGTATGGTTATAGTCGGCAACAAGCGCAGCCCAGAAGTCCAGCTCGGTCATCTGAGGAGTGGGCAGCTGGGAAAATCGTAAGGAAGTTCTCTGCGGTTCGTCTACAAGCTTTCTAATCTGATGGAGAGATGGGGGACGGGAGTCCTTTCGAACATGTGAGCCTGACTTGGGGTTGCCAGCCAGAGCATTGTTTTCTTGTTCAAGTCTCGCAAGGAGTAGAGCAGTAGACTAGTAATTCCTGTCAGATAAGATAGCATGACATGATGAAATGGGATCTTCAACAAAGCAACTCACCTCATCTCCGGGGTCGCTCTTGGACTCCAATTGCTCAGTTTTCTCGAGTTCTCTCCAGTCCACTTGCTCACTTCCTTCTCGAGATCCTGGCTCACTGCTTCCACCACTGCTTCTAGAACTTGTAGAGGAAGAAGATCGTGTGCTTCCCGATTGATTGTTGGATCGTCGCTGTGGAGTGTCCTCGTTTGGTGGGACAATGCCTTCTCCCTCGACAATATCTTGAGGTTCCTCTACGATTGGAGACGAAAGGACAGTGGAAGTACGACAAACAGAGTCTGTGGTCTTAGGGCCAAATGACACATCCGAGAGAGGAACAGTAACCATGGAATCCGTCGATTGCAGCTCACGGCTGACGGAAGTCAACGAGGACATTGTCTCCCCGGACGAATCTTGAAAATCTGAAGAATGGTGCATGCCGAATATGAGAAAAACGCAGCGTGTCTCAAGCTAGTTGGTAGGCATGGGTATTAAAAAAGCGGTATACAGGTGCGGTATCGACGGGACGGATGTTATATGGCAATATAGAGAGGGGAAGGGGGGGGACGCTATCGGGCCAATTCAAAAGGTGCCTGGATTTGCCGGCAAAACAATGGGGCGGGCGACAACTAAAACGAGGGGGTGAAGATACAATGGGGTCGCCGGCGACAATTGCAGGAGCAAAGGAGTGCGGGCGACCAAGGGTCGCGGTGCTGACGGAGAATAAGGGAGCTGTCCTCTTGACGCGGATGGGAAGAAGTTGAAGCTGTATGAAGATGTATGATGTCGTTGTCGTCGAGAACTGCGCCAGGAGAGTGGAGACGATAAGGGGCAACTACCCGTAAGTTGTTAGTCAGAAACGGCGGCTAGCTATGCCTAAAGCGGGCAAGCGGAACGCACTCTAATTTAGGGTTTCAGGAACGCTCGAACCTACCCAAATTCTTGCAGCTTTCGCAAAACGACACGCGACAAACCGCACGACAGCCGCACGGCGAGTTTGCACGGAAGATGAAGTGCCGCTTGTGCTTTATATATTCTCTCTTCAGCGGACAGACCTAATGCCAACCATTCTTTCACCCCGGTACGGGATATCCCTAAAGCTGCCATTGCTGATCCATTGTTCCTTTGTCTCTGAATCGCCCCTGTTCCGTTCGTCCAATGGGTAGTCCCGACATCAAAATCCCAAGTGAAGCAATATATTCCCATTCCCCTTCGTATGAGATGTTGCTTCATTAAATGATGGCTACCTTGAAACCGAATCCCTGTTGGCAGTTTGATAATTCCCGGGAATATTACTATTTTCGTTTTTGAACAATAATACCGGCTGTCTTTCATCACGTGCTTATTATCTGGAGGTCCTGGAGCGAAATAAGATTTGAACCTATAACCTAAACATCTTCAGTGTTCCGGGGATTTGAACACCTAAGCTTTCGCGTGTAAAATGGCATTACTCACCGAAATTTTTCAGGATGCAGCTTTGACTCATCGGTGTTGTTTGAAGTTTTCTATGCGTCAAAAGGCTACAAACAATCCAATATTGCCACAGCACAAGTCACAGAAAAAGTTTTTACGCACACAACTCAGTGTTTGGTCATATACAGCTCGCTGTTACTATTCCAACTCAAACACCGTACTATCCCCCTTGTATCTGGTTTAGCACCCATATCCAGCATTTATTCCTCATTTCCTTAACGAGAGACATGGGAACACGACTGTTCCCTATACCCAGTGTCATCAAAATCAAAGACTTGCAATTTTCAAACCCTTAACACTTTGCCAGACAACTCATGACCAATTCTTCATCCTTTAGTTACAAGCCGCAGAATCCTTTCCAGACTGTGGTGCTGGTGCGCCTCAGTGGCCATCGAGAGAGCTTCCCGATTAGGCGGAACACCAACAACCGCCTGAAGCATAGAAGCAGTTGGGGCGTGGGTCGCAGCAGTAATAGCCGCTGCATACCCCTGCGCAGTAATAGCAAGCTACCAATTTCCGAAAGAGGAGAGGTTTCCATCAGCTCTGGGATTTCCACAAATATTGAAACCAGACATGGTGGGAAGTTTAGAGACAAAAAATTAGTCATACCATCTGCTAGGACATCACCATTACTCTTGGCGGCGGGGGAAGTATCTAGGGAATTGGCTGTTTAGCCAGGGGAAAGCATGTTAGCCTGTCTCAAACCTGTTTGTGACTTTGTATTTCATACTGTCCAAACTCACCAGCAGCCTTTTTCTCCATTTCCGGAGCGCCGAAGATCGGAGTCAAGCCTGATATCAGGCAGAAAATCAGAAGATTGAGCTTCATATTTTTTGAATTTCACCTGGACTTTGTTGTCTTGGGATTTATTTTTGATGGTTTGTCCTCTTGCGACTTATCCAATACGATGGAAGGGAGAATAAAGGGGCGTTGGAAAGTGGGTTTTACCTCTCTTTTATTCCTGATCTGATGCATGGAGCTCCAGGTCAACTTTCATTCCTTCCCTGGATACCACCATGTCTTGGGGTCTTGGGGGGTTGCGTTCCACTGCTTACAACCATGCCGGCCAGCTGGATAGGCTAAATGCACAAACACGAGGTAATGGAACCTGCTGCCTCATTGGTTATGCCCCTCAACGATCTAGAATTCTCTCTCCCAAGAGCAACTCTTGTCACGCATGTGAAGGTGCAGATATCTTGTCGGGAGTGTTGGCACGGCGGCTACTTTCCTCACTGCACCCATTGCAATCTACATAGTCTTGCGTTGCTCTCCTGCGCCACAGTCAAATTCCCTTGCATAAATACGGGCTTCGTGAAAGCCCAAAAGAAGTTGTTTTTCGACTACTCGTTGGGTGCCCTTCAATACTATAGTGTATATCCACTGACCACCACTGGAGATTCTAGCGTAAATCTGCATCCTCCGTCTCATCATCAATAAATATGCAGGCAAGGCCCTTGGCATTTTTGAAATCAACTGATTCTCTCCAGTCCCGATGGCCTTGAAATAAACTCGAGCGCCAGCCTAACAATCTCCGTTGGACAACGGAGCATGGTGGAATCTCCAAAACCCAGCAAATAAGCCCATTACTACCCTCTTGTTTGAGCACTGTGGATGCCTGTCAGTTTTCCAGTGGGATTCTTATAGGAGAATATTGCGCTCTGGGCCAATGAGGCGTGGTCTCTCTTCAAGTTAAGGACGAAGCGACAGTGTTATCAGCCTGACGATATTTTCCCAAATGACAGAATTAAGATCGTCGAACCGAGGGGTTATCGAACCCGTATTGATCTGGGGAAATCATGGCAACTCTCTTTTCCCGGACGAGTATACGGCGTGGCCTGTGGGAGGCTAAGAAGTTAACACATGCCTTTAAAAGTTCTTCTCTTTCGGAAACCTGTGCTCTCAGGTGCCACCTGTGCTACTCTCAAAAAACCAACCCCACAACCTCCGAATAGACTCTTCTCGTAGTAGCGCAACGGGATCGACATATTGTGCATATTCATTTTTGCGTTGATAATTGCATGGCTAACTTCAATACGACGCGAAGTCAAGCGAATCAGTCATATTTTGGCTAGGAAATGAGCTGAGAAAGAATCAAGCTCACCACCAACATATCCTTGCAGTTTATCACTGCATCAAACCCAAAAATAGGATTCTCGAACCCAGCCTGCTTTACTTTAACCCTTCATTAACCCAACTTATCGGGCAGAACCCTACGAGTCTCATCAGTTCCAAGCAAGCTTGGCTTGGGCTTGGGCCATTGTTGAAGTGCATGTCTTCCGCGTCTTGAGGAATCTCCATGCAGTAAATGTAATATTATGCCTTATATTACTATTATGGCTTCCCGGATAGGTTTTTAAAGTGCAGGCCGGCTCAAACCGATATGAATAGGTTTACGAACATTAGTCAAGGCGGCATCATAGTGGGTGATATGCTTGATCTACATCCAGAGAACTTGGATCTCAAATCGATGGTTAGTTACAGCCAATAAAAAAATCATATGACAAGCTATTCGTAGCGAGCTCTTAAGGACCAATGTTCTGAAAACACTAAAAATTTATGGGTAAACCTGTTACATATTGGTTGGTCGGTCAAACCCTCAAAGATTTGAGGATGCCGGACTTGGCTGCAAATTACGTGTCTAGCCTCAAGACTCCAACCATGAGGGGAAGAATTTATTATTTGAGCTCTGCTGCTGATTTCCATTAGTGTGTGCAAGGATTTGCATAGTAGTAAAAATTCTACACCTCCGTACGTACAGTACATACTTGGAAGAATCAATGTGAACTCAACCACAACTCTCTCTTTTCATTCATATACCTCTCAACTCAGAACATTCCCGTCCAATTCAAATGTCATATCTGCCGCTAATGATACCGTGTCGACCACTACGTGTACCTATAAGAGATATCGGAGGGAAAATCTCGTATCGGTGCTACCAGATCAACGCCCACACAGCCTTAAAAATAGGAAATAGGACCAATTGCTCACTATCACAAAAGCACCCGACACGACCAAAATTGGTCATTAAATCGCAAACCTTCCGCGACCCGGTTCATCAATTCGATATTTTAATTGCCAAACCCCCTCGACCAGTATTGTGTGAAATTCATACGCGACCCTGCATGGAATCAGCCGCTCCGGCCAAGTTCCACAGCAGGTTCCACCGCAGCGCCCCGGGGTGGTTCGACGCGAACATGATGCACTGGTTTATCCGGGTAAATAACATAGTTAAAATCATGATGTTGAAAGCAGCTGATCAAAAAATTAGAGATACGCGTCCTTGAATGTATGGAACTTGGTTGGGTCATGGTGAGACAACGTTCTCATACTTCTTTGCCAGCAAATTTCACCCATCTACGTCGGGATATTGGCCAGATCAAGGCAGCGGACTGAAGCTGCCAAGTGGGCCTCGCGACCGGGCGAGGAGCTCAGTGATAACGGATGTAAATATTCATTGCTAACTCAGTCAGTACAAAAATGTGGTTCGGACCGAAGAGATCAACATGAATTTCCTCAAGCTAACTTACGATTAGCACCTTTGATCGGCACCTAGGGAATCAATCCCCAGCCGAGCTTGTAAGAAGAATATCCCCGCCGTGGAAAATAAATACGTCAAAATCAAATCTCACCTGTGAACTTTGTCAACTCCGGTCAACAGGTGATAATACGCTCGACCATTCCACTGAAGATCCAAGCGTGAAATGGGCCTCATGGAAGGTATAGCGCATGATGACAGCGAAAAGATAAATATAGTCGGCAACAAAAGAATCCATAAATCATTTTTCTCCGTGAATACATACTTTGTAAAAGGAGTTTTCCCATTGATTGCTGCATTCTTATTGTTGATGTGGTAGGTTTCATCCCTCAACATGGATGTCAAAACCTTGAGAAAATATATAATTATAATTATCTGGATATGTTTTCAGTTGTTAGTGCAACCTCATCACCATACTACTCTCATCACGGCATAACTTGTATTTTGTATATGAGTGCAACATATAGCAGAGGCTTTTAGAGTATATGAATGTCAATAACCATACGCAGCGTTGAATACTACACTGAAAATACAGATATAACATTCTATGTCGTGGGGGACTCACGGCAAGAAGACACAAAATAAATATGAAAACCTTCAACACAACGTTGGATTTCAAGGATGTAGGGGTTTAAAACGTCTTTTAAAAATAATTGATTAAAGCTACTTTATTGTCAATTACTGTACTGTAATGTGCCCTCATTGTTAGCTGATTTTCCATGCTATCCCTTTTACATTTTTTGGTGTTGGTATGCGTTCATTGAGGCTACATACAATTCAAGAGATACTTAAAGTTGGCATTGGTCACTTTACTCTCCCATATACTGAGTGATACGTCTTTACATATGCTGAGGAAAGGAATGAGAGAAAGAAAGTCGCATCTGCGCAGTATACTATGTATGGACAATGTGATGTGGATAGTTGTTACTTACTACAGTACATCTGGTCGCTGCTTGTTGACACTAATTTCCACACTAGTGCCAAAGAGGACTGGTCGTGTTGTCAAATTTCCTAGTTGGGCCAAACATTGCTGAGTCACCCGCCAAGAAGTGGCCCGAAGCGGCAGGGGCCTAGACTCCCGTTGCCGGATCCAGCAACACCCCACGGCGAAAATCGCGGTGTCCAAACAAACATCAAACAAACGCGCCTTTGCCCCTTCTTTCACCAACAACATATGTGGACGTCGACATCGACATCGACATCGACCACGACCGCGACCACGACGCTCGTTTCTTCTCTCGTCTTCTTCTTGTCGCCCCGTCTTCTTCAACGCCTCCTAATACTCCAGGAGTGCTTGACCTTGTATTTGTCTCTGTCGCACTGATTTTGTCTTCACACATTCGTTTGTTTCCTCCACTCGCCGACACCTGTCTGTAGGCTCAACTTCCAACTACATCCGCTGCGGATGGACTCCCCAATAGACTCCGTCTTTGAAGACGATGGGGATAGTTCTGATTTCGTCCCAGAGGCGCCGGTGCGTGTCCTCTTTTGACTTTTTAGTTGCTGGCCGATCTCCCCCAGTATCGATTCTGGCTAGCGTGTCTAACTCATTCGTTCCTATAGAAATCCAAAGCCAAGGTTCCCAAGAAAGCTGCTACCTCTACTAAACCGAAAGCACCTGCTAAAAAGACGACCAAAACCGCCGCTACACCGAAAGCCGCTGCCACCAAATCCACCGCCTCCAAGAAGAAGGCGAAAGTAGACACAGAAAATGAGATATCAGATGGTGATGATGACGGAGATCTCGATGTCGCATCCCTACTTTCAGCTACACCTCCAAATGCTGCTGCGAAGGCGAAAAAATCTGCGGGCTCCAAGAAGCCGCCTAACAAACCCCTAGAAAATGTTGAAAATGAATCGTTTGGAATGGATGGCGCTACGGTACCCAAGGAGAACAGTGAGAAGTACCAGAAAGTAAGCCGTTGATCGATACCTTTCCCATCAGCGGGGGAGTGATATTAACTGCGCAATCTACCTAGCTTACCCAATTAGAACATATCATCAAACGGCCAGACACATACATCGGCTCTATCGAACGGTCCACTAACCAGATGTGGGTTTACAATATGCAATCTGGATCAATGGAATTTCGAGAAGTCTCATACGTGCCTGGTCTCTACAAAATATTCGATGAGATTCTGGTCAATGCTGCCGATAATAAGCACAACGATAAAAACATGGACGAGATACGTGTCACTCTAGACAGGGAATCTGGCGAAATAAGTGTCTGGAACAATGGTCGCGGTATCCCCATTGAGATCCACGCGGTGCGCATGTTCTCCATTGCCTTAAGTCCACTACTCCTCTGCTAATAGATGTTTTTTTTTAGAAAGAAAAAGTCTACATCCCTGAACTGGTTTTCGGTCACCTTCTTAGCTCGTCCAACTACGATGACAACCAACAAAAGGTGACTGGTGGACGAAATGGTTATGGTGCCAAGCTCTGTAATATCTTCAGCACACAATTTACACTCGAAACAGCGGACTCTAAATTAAAAAAGAAATATAAGCAAACATGGACTGACAACATGTCCAAGATGGGAAAGCCAAAAATAACGGATTGCAAAGGCGATGACTACACCAAGGTTACTTTCATCCCAGACTTCAAGAAGTTCGGAATGGACGGGATCGATGACGACTTCGAGGCGTTGGTTAAGCGTCGAGTTTATGACTTGGCAGGAACTTGCAAGGTCAACGTGAAATTGAATGGATCGCGTATTCCTATCCGCAATTTCAAACAGTATATGCAAATGTATACTAACGCCATAAAAAAAGAACGTGGCGAGGAGGCCGCCAAAGACAAATCTGAGATCATCACTGACAACCCAGACCCGCGATGGGAAATCGGGTTCGCTGTGTCCGACGGCTCATTCCAGCAGGTGTCTTTTGTTAACTCTATTGCGACAACATCGGGTGGATCCCATGTCAATTCAGTTGCTGACCAGATTTGCAACAAACTTGTGGATGCGGTAAAAAAGAAGAACAAGACAGGCGCCACCCTCAAACCGGCCCAAATTCGGAATCACATATTTGTATTCGTAAACGCACAGATTGTCAATCCCGCGTTTACATCCCAAACAAAGGAGCAATTGACAACAAAACCGAGCCAGTTTGGAAGCAAGTGTGTGTTGTCAGATGAATTCCTCAAGAAGATCCTGAAAACCCAAGTGATGGAAAATATCTTGCATTTCGCTGAGAAGAAAGCGGATCAAATCTTGAAGAAGACGGACGGTAATCGACGATCACGTATGAACAACCCAAAACTAACTGATGCTAACAAGGCTGGAACGAAAGAGGGACACCACTGCACTCTCATCTTGACTGAAGGAGATTCTGCAAAGGGATTGGCTATGGCTGGTCGAGCTATTGTCGGCCCTGATCTTTTCGGTGTATTCCCTCTCCGCGGAAAGTTGCTCAATGTTCGGGACGCCTCGGTTGATCAGATATCTAAAAATGCGGAAATCCAGAACATCAAAAATTTCCTTGGCCTACAGCACAAGAAAGAGTATACGGATACCAAGGGCCTCCGCTACGGACATCTCATGATCATGACGGATCAGGATCACGATGGAAGCCATATCAAGGGCCTATTGATCAATTTCTTCCAAGTTGCATTCCCAAGTTTACTTAAAATACCGCAGTTCTTGATTGAATTTATCACACCAATCGTCAAAGTGTGGAAGGGTGATCCGAAAAATCCAACCATATCTAAAGTCTTTTTCACTATGCAAGAGTATAAGACATGGCAAGAGATTCACGGTCACGATAAACGGTGGGAAAAGAAATATTACAAGGGTTTAGGTACCAGTTCTACAGACGATGCCGAAATCTATTTCCGCGACTTGGATAAACATCTGAAGCAATTCCATGTCATGCAGGATCATGAGGCGGAGCTCATAGACCTCGCATTTTCCAAGAAAAAAGCCGACGAGCGAAAAGAGTGGCTCCGTCAGTTTAAACCTGGCACCTTCCTAGACCATACGACTGACGAGATCACTTATACTGATTTCATCAACAAGGAACTCATCCTTTTCAGTATGGCTGACAACATACGATCCATCCCTTCTGTCGTGGACGGTTTGAAGCCTGGCCAACGCAAAGTTCTCTATACCTGCTTCAAGCGCAATGTTAAAAAGGATGTGAAAGTAGCTGAACTTAGTGGTTACGTTCTTGGCATGACTGCGTATCAGCACGGAGAGCAGTCACTGCAGCAAACCATTATCGGCCTTGCTCAGAACTTTGTGGGATCCAACAATATCAACTGCCTGGAGCCTAGTGGAAACTTCGGTTCCCGTTTACAAGGTGGATCTGATGCTGCTAGCCCCCGTTATATCTACACCCGACTTTCGCCATTCGCGAGACGGATATTCCACGAGGCCGATGAACCTCTGTTGACATACAACGTCGACGATGGCCAGGTCATCGAACCTGAGATTTACTTCCCCGTTGTGCCTATGATTTTAATCAACGGCGCTGAGGGAATTGGAACAGGTTGGAGCACTTCCATTCCGAACTACAATCCTGAGGAAATAGTTGCGAATCTAAAACGTCTCATGGCTGGTGAACCGCTTGTCCCAATGGAACCTTGGTTTCGAGGTTTTACCGGTGAAGTCGTCTCGATGGGTGGCGAACGATACAAATTTAGTGGGAGAATTTCGCAAATTGGAGACAATGAAGTTGAAATTACCGAGCTACCCATTCGTTCCTGGACGCAGGACTTCAAAGACCGGCTCGAGGAAATTATCAAGGCGGAGAAAGTTCCATCGTTCATCAAAGACTACAAGGACTACAATACCCACACCAAAGTCCACTTTATAATTCAGTTGGACGAGAAGTACGCGAAAAAAGCAATCGCTGAAGGTCTAGAAGAGAAGTTCAAACTAACGAAGACCATCGCCACCTCGAATCTTGTTGCATTTGATTCTGAGGGTCGAATTACCAAGTACGAATCGGTTGAAGAAATACTTCGAGAATTCTTTTCTGTTAGACTTAAACTGTATGAGAAGCGGAAGCAGCATCAACTTTCCCAAATGCAGAAAGATTTAGAGAAAATGACCAACCAGGCTCGGTTTGTTCAAATGATTATCGATGGGAAGTTTGTCATTTCGAAAAAGCCCAAGGCACAGCTGGTACGGGAGTTGAAGGAGAAAGGGTTCAAACCTTTTGCTAAGGTTTCGGACGCCGCCGCAAAAGGCGAAAACGCACCCGTTGTGGAGGAGGATGAGGACGATGATGGTGAGGATACGCAGATTGCAGCTAATTCTTATGACTACTTGCTTGGGATGCCATTGTGGTCTTTGACCAAGGAAAGAGTGGAAAAGCTACGTCGTCAAATTGGGGATAAGGAAACCGAGATTGATACCCTTATCAAGCTATCCAAGGAAGATATATGGACTGCTGATCTTGACGATTTCCTCGCGGAGTGGAAATTCCAGCTCGAAGATGAAGAACGTCGGCAAACAAAGCGGACGAAAAGTGCCCGTCGCGTTTCTACGAAGCTCAAGACTGCCGCTACCAAGGGCGGTAAGAAGCGCAAGGCCGCCGATGACGACGATAGCGATTTCGGCCTGCCCAAACCGAAAAAATCTGGCAAATCAACAACCATAAATCGCGTGAAGCCGCAGGCGGGTCTTCTTGACTATCTTAACAGTGTGCCTTCGAAGCCTAAACCGAACAGTAACAAAAGTGTTGGTGGTGCGGATGGCGCGAGTGATTTGGACGATGAGGATGATTTCGAACCAGAAATTCTCCCAACTAGGAAGCCAAGAGCTGCTTCTTCTAAGCCGGCAAAGCCTATAGAACTTGACGGATTGAGCGATTTTGACGAGTTTGAGCCGGCAATCAAAGAAATTTCCCAAACGGCTTCACCGAATCTCGCTCAGCCGATGGATATGGATACGGGTGTGACTATTGATGGACAGAGCGAGTCCGATGCTATTCAACCTGTAGCTGGCCCTCCGAAGAAGGCAAAAACACAAGTCTCAAAGTCCGGCAAACCCGGGAAGCCAGGGAAGCCAGGGAAGCCAGCTGCCACGCATGGAAGTGATTTTGAAGAATCTAAGCCTACAACTTTCTCGGAAAAGAAAAATACAAAGGCGGCCCCTCCGCCTAAGAAGATTCCGTTGAATGATGATGCTTCAGATATAGAAATCACGTCGAGAAGGCCAGCCCGTCAAGCGAAAGTGAATCGGAAACCGATCACGTTCGACAATTCAAGCGGATCTGACAGCGACGATGGTGAAGACTTGCTTGGAGACGTCAGCCAGATGGTGAAAGGTATTGGCCATACTGCGGACCTATCATCCGAGTCTCGAGCTCTTTTTTCCGAACTCTCACGTCCAGGTACTAGTTCCGGGGTTAAACCAACGACAACGCCATCGTCAAAACACCCCAAAGCCACCAGTACTGACCTCTTCGATCCTGATGAAACGGACTACTCGAAACTGATTCCTCAGAATTCTCCAAGGAGGTCGCTTCTGGTGAAGCCTAAAGACACTAAATTCTCCAGTGATGAAGGACAGGGCCAAGAGAGCGATTCGGATGCGGTTTCCACTTCAAAGTCTGCAACACCTTCCAGAGCAAAACCCAGCGCTACGTCTCAGAAACCCGCTCCGAAAGCAACTAAGACAGCTGCTACCGCTAAAAAAGCTGTTACCAAACCCAAAGCTGCTGCTGCCGCCCCAGCAAGGAAAGGTGTTCTTTCGCCCGCTGCGAAAGCTTATGCTGCGAAGAAAGCTAAGTCGCAGAAATTAACTGATGCGCTGTCTGATGGCGATGACGACGATGACATCGACGCCATGGCCAATGACATCCTCGACTCACCCGTGCCAGCTGCAAAGGGAAAGGGAAAGGGAAAGGGAAAGGAGAGACATGATGATTTTGATGTGGATGATTCGGAAGACGAGGTGGTTGCTCCAGTACCAGCACGTGTGGCCGGGGGTCGTCCAACGCGTCGGGCAGCAGCAGTGGCGAAGAAGCCTACATATACGATTGATGATGATAGCGATGAAGAGGATGATTTTGATGTTGGTTCGAGTGAGGAGTTTTCTGATATTGATTAGGTGAGATGAACCACATGGCTAAGAAGCTATAGTCATCTCGTTTTCGTGTGGCTGCTGTAGAGCTGTAATTTCTACTCTGTAATTTCCAAGCCCCCTTTTATTATTATTGTATGTTTTGCATGTTTTCATCTTCTGTATACCTCCATTTTGTATTTATTTATTTTCAGGTGTTGTTTAGCTTCTTTTCGTGTCCTATTTCTAATGAAACAATACTTTTTCTCATCTGCTTGATATTTTGGCTATGTTGGCTACCACGAAGTATAACAGTGTATAAAGTCATAACCATGCTCGTTGCCATGGATGCTTTCTTGCATGTGTATTGGACTATTCCAACGGAACCCCACAAGTGATACTCTTTCCCTACATACATATATTGCAGATACAAATAATGCGGTGGAAGGTATACCTAGGTATTGTTCTCTACTTGTACTGTACATAAATAAACACAGCCAGAACTCCGTTGATAGAGAGTGTAAGGCAGCGGGTATGGGAAAGTTGGCGGTTTGGGGTTCCGACGAAGGCGGGCAGCTACATACATGCTTAGCGATAAGGAGCGGGAACCGCCATTTCTCCGTTGATAGTGATTTTGAGGAGGAGCAGGATTAAGTTGGTTGAAGGAACTGTGTAAATATTCTACAGGTTAATGTCATTCCCCAACCCTGATGGAGTTGGAGTAATCGAACTGGAATTCATTTGGTGTTGGTCGATATCACGCATCCATATGAAGATTTCCGCATTGGGTTAAAATGAAGAAATAGTTAAAGCTTCAGCGAAGTTTGTTTCTGCGCAACTTCACATTTAAGACCGTGGTCTGTTGTTAGTTCTATCAACAACAACTACACGCAGCTTTGAATTGTCTGCATAATTCTTTTATTCTTTCTTTTCTTTTCTTTTCTTTTTTTGTTGCTTGTCTAAAACATCAAAACTTAAAAATATCATATGGTGAAAACAACTGGAGCCAAAGGGCAGTCGGCTAATTTTTCTTGACCAGCCAAAACATCTCGGTCAAAACGTCTCGATTGAAAAGCAACTTGTATGGCTTACTTGGGTATTAAACAAGCCTCCATCTACTCTATGTAAGGCCAGGCCATAGGACAACAAGCCTCCGTTCTCCTGACAGCCTTGGCCGGTAATTCTCGCTGTTTTGCCTGCAGAAAGGAGAGGGAATATAGCGGTGTCATACCCGCTGGGACTAAGGTAGCCCATTCTCTTAAAAAAAAAAGAAAAAGAAAAAGAAAAGACCTTTTTTCGCCTAGGTTTCTTCTATCCTTAGCGGCTCTCTTACCACTTTTCGTCTTTTCGCAGCTGTCTCTTAGATGAGGAATCTGTGCCTGAAGAACTACACGGGTAGCTGCATCAAGCCATTCATGGATCGGGAGGAAATTCCTCTACCGCCTTTTGTACTGGCAGCCTTGGGTTTGATTATTACGGTTTCATCAGTGGCGAAATGAAAACCCCCGGTTAATCTAGGCTTCCTGGCCCATGATTCACTTGTATGGGCGATTGGGAGAGGTAGAGGTGGGAATGTGGAGGGCGCATCCTCAACGAAATCCTCTCTCTGCCTCAGTGGGTGGATTGTTTTTCTTGGACAGCTCGGAAAGGAAATAGTTTCCTGTCCACTACTAGGACATGGATTTTTTTTTTTTTTTTTTTTTTTTTAAATTAGATGGACCTCATTTTCCCATCTATTAACTTCCAGGTGGTTGTCGAGGGAGGAGGGGGGGGGAAACAGAGTTACGGGCTTAAGAGTATCAAACACCCCCCGAGTCTTCAGATGCGTTTCTGACCTTTTCTTCCTTCATTTGTTTTAACAACTCATGAGGTCAGCGCCATTGCACCTCATCTCCCCTGTCCCAATTACACGCCTCTCCTCAACATACGAAGTCCAAACAAATGACAGCTCTTCTGACTGGGTGCCTAGGGACGCTGGTTATTTATTCTCCGATACGCCGGCCAATCAGCTTGCTCTTTTGTCTCTGATCCTCCCATTTCCTGCACCTAACGAGTCTGACCAGCCAGCAGCTTCCCGTAACACGAGCTTTACCAAACAGTACATACCCGATTAACTTCTCAACCATTTACCTAGACATTCTTCTTTGCGTCTATCATCAGGCTTTAAATTAACTTTAGGGCTTGCTATGATACTGATTAAGCTCCTTCAGCCTTTCTTCTAGCGGTGGGAGCCGTGAATCGAGAAAGAGGGCAAAGCCAGGGTTCTATTTCCTGTGGCAATAAAAGGACGAATAAAAGTGGAATGAGAAAAAAAAAATGAAAAGAAGACACTGTGAGCGAGAGGAATGCTTGATAGGTAAAGAATAAAGAGAAGCGGGAATCTCAGTCCTAAGTTTCATGTCCTGCTATGCTATCATCCTACCTGCTTTTTATGTTTTACTTCTTCATCCCATATCACTATTGGCAATCAATACTGTTCTTTGTGAATTTCTGGTGAACGCTGGCTCGCCAAGTAGGGCACTCAACTGGCATGCTTGAGGAATGCCTAAGGGTACGATGCCCCATTGGAACAGCTGCCCGAACACCGCCCAAATTGCACTTGGGTGCGAAATACATACATATGTGGCGTCTCCTCACCCGCGGAGCGGGTGTTTGCATCATGTCAGTGAAACACATTTGCCTCGATGGGGTGCACTCCATTCCTGGTTAGATCGGATGCAATTTTCCTGACGAAACATACTAGGCACAGAGGGCTTAACTCTTTGATTAGGGTTGGGACTCTGTGTATCAGTCCTTCTCCTTTTTTGCCATCTCTCAGCCGTTATGGAGTACCGAAACGGTGTTGCAGGACTGTCACTGCCTCCCAGCAGCAGCTTTGGTTGGTCATACTAGAATTTATTTTGGTTTGAAGGACACAATTACAGGAATGCAGCAGTTTCCCAATGCTAAAGCTCTACATTTTCTGAGTGGACGATATCAAGATATCCCATGGCGGAAAGACAAGATGTTGAACTCTTTTCCGGGGGATACCTCTGAGACATCTGCCCTGTGTCTCCTGACTGTCAGTGATTTGTTTCTTGTTCACCGCTTGCCTAACCTACCTCGATACATAGGTAGGAAGCTAAGTGGCTACTAACAACCTACAAACAAACATACAAAGTAGACCTAGGAATGGCGCAGAATACCCTGCCCGCCAGTTCAGAGCCCAAAAGGGAGCCAGCCGACCATCATAGCCTTGCCCCCCGGAGCTATCGGAAGGTTCCTGACAAAGATATCGGACCGGAATCTGCTTGATGTAGACTAGGAGGGTCCTTATTACTCTCCTTGCTCCTTCGCCCATATGTCATAATGCCAAAAGCCGATAAACCTTCTTAGTCTTGTATGCATTGATCTGCGTTCTACCTTGGCTTTCTGAAGTAGATCTGTTTACCTTGTCCTTCTATATTTTTCTGCCCATGAGAAGTCCATTTGCTCATTTTTATCCATATCCCAACCGAGCTTTAAATTTCTCCCTTATCCTCGCTTGGTTTGGCTGTTTGTCAATGGTTTTCTCTTTTCTCTTCTAAATTACACAGTTCTCCCGTTACTGGCCCAAGCTCCTTTTCCATTACCCACTTTGCGCCTTCAGTCCGGGCAGCATTCTACACATCCGTTGGAATCAAGAAGAGAAACGGTATTTCATTCCAGGCGGCGAGCTCGCTCTTTCCCCTTTCCTTGATATAAACATGACGTCTATCGCTTCTCTCCTCAACCCGGAGCCTGAATCGAGAGAGAGATATCCCCAACAGCTCCCCACGCCGTCCCCCAGCCGCTTTGCAAGAGAGTACCGCCAGTCCCCCCCTCCAAGGCAGAAAAAACAGAAGATATCCAAAGATGCCGCCGTCTTCACTCGGGGTAGAACGCGAGGAGAGTTGAGGTATCCTCCTTGCGAGTATCAGAATCAAGAACTTGCTGAAGCGCATAGAGAATTTCAGATCCATCCTATGGGCCATATCACGGAGTACCCAAGGCATATTCCATACAATAGCGAGAAGAAGTCGTTTTTAGAGAAGACAGGGCGGGAGAGTTTCGAAGGTACGAATGCTGTCTTGTGAATTTTACGCCTAAACTGTATTTGTTTTAACTCTGGAGGTATACGTTGATCTGAAATGTTATTTATAGTGTTTCAGTATACGTTCAAGGTTCCTGGAGACGAGAAGACGTACACCGTTATGTGGGACTACAATATCGGCCTCGTTCGAACTACCTCTTTATTCCGATGTAACAACTATTCCAAAGTATGTTCCTTCTTCTTGAAGGAAATTTTTGCTCCTACATGACTATTGACCCATTTCTCAGACGGCCCCGGCGAAAATGCTAAACGCAAATCCTGGTCTCCGCGAAATCTGTCACAGCATTACAGGGGGTGCGCTAGCGGCTCAAGGTTAGGCTCTATTTAATACTATTAGAACTCCCAATTCTGATGATTACCAGGATATTGGATGCCATTCGAGGCCGCCAAGGCAGTTGCAGCTACTTTCTGTTGGAAGATTCGCTACGCATTGACACCTCTTTTCGGCATCGACTTTCTATCTATATGCATACCTCCGGACGACCCGCGGTTTGGCAGGTGGGTGATCGAACAGTCCATCGTGTGCGACGCTACAAATTCAGCTAGACATTACCGGCTCCTTGAAGGACTTTCAAGCAAAAGTACGAACCAGCGGCGGAGTCCTGATGAACCTTATCCACGCTTGAATTCTAACGCAGCTGGATGGAGTAGGAAGGAACTACGGCCTAAACCTTCTCCCTTAGTGGGAGTAAGTTTCGGGGCAAATGGGGATAGGGAATATACCGCTGACACTGACGCTGGTGGTGCATACTGCCTCTCACCGTCCAAAACACGGGAGAGCTTCTGCGCTCCGGCAAGTACACCACGTACGACGGGAACGGATCAGTGCCGGATACCTTCTCCTCGGGAAATACTCTCTTCCCTTAACAACCGGCGGAACAAGGCTACAACGCCAGAAGACATCCTGGATACGGACGTTGACATGGAGACGGAATCGGAATTGGGTGATTCCGCAGAAAGCACGCCCACGGAGCAGGGATTCCAAGGAGACTTGTATCGGGATACGGATAACGAGATCAATTGTGATAACGATGCCAACGATGACGTTGAGGTCGAAGTCACCCCTGATCGTGGGCGTGAAGGTGAACGCGAAGCTTCACTGCCTAAGATCACCTACAATAAGAGGCACGAAGTTGACCGCGCTAAACGGCGTAGCTCGCCTTTACCACTTACAAACGACGCAAGAGCTGCGTATATGCTTATGCGACTGCATATGCAGGATGTGGTGGGTGTGGATGAGAAGAAGAGGAGACGGGCTTCAGCGTAGAAATAAAATGGAACGACGACATTCTGGTGTGGCTTGCTGGTGTGTTTGTTTGCAGGGGGTGATGTGTTCTCCTTTGAAAACTTTGGCCGACTGTTGATTGTCTTATTGATCCATTCTGGCGTTTAGAGCAGATGATCGGACAGGGGAGTTGGCTATATCAACTGCGACATACATGTGCGCAGTAGCAGGCGGTGGTTGGTTTGTTTTTGATCCCCTTTCCCGCGCGCATCTTGGAAAACTGTCTCTTTTCACTGCTTCCGCAGAGGTATTGGTCAAGTTACGGGAGGGCATTATGTGTATTTGATTGTAGGGGTGTTGATTCAGCCAATTATTTTCTCGTTTTTCGTTGTCATTTTTCCTTTCATTGCTATTTTCCATTTCCCTTTCCCCACCTTACTCTCGTTTTCTATTTCCTATATCCAATTGTGCTATGACGTGATGCCTAGCGATGTGCATCCACTCGTTTATTTCTTACTTGATACTCGATTTATTTCCCAGTATTTAGACCATCATATGGGGATGGCCCCTATCAGAAAATGGAATCAATTACACCCACTCTCACCCTAGCATACCCTTAAGTAAATAAAAAGACATCACAACTCGTCTCAATCACTGTGTTGGAGGCCATGAAGTACGGTACAATAATTACATACAACTGACCACGCGGGCACAATATTGTCTTGTTAAGTGCATATTGGATGTGGGTTCGCAGGGAGGTGGGAACATGCAGTTGAGACATCTATGGATCCATACCTGCGGAGCTGTGAATCTGGTATAATTGTGGAGAACGGGGGGTGTGTCGAACATGCAATGCAAGTAAATATGCATCTGCTGCTGATGGCTTTACATGCATGCTAGATAATTCAGTGAACCATACATCATTCCAATGCAGCGAGAGTGTTTAGTCACTGGCAATGCATAGGTAGAATTAATGAAGTTGCAGGAAGCCAGTTAGGAAGCATGGCAGAGAGGCAGAGAGGCAGAGAACAGAGAATGATGAACGGGGAACTAAAAGTAGATGTGCAGGAGAGAAGATATTGATATGGCCATGAAACAATGATAATACAACAAGAACAAAATTTTTTTTATCAGTGATACATTAACATTCTCACTCTAGCACGGTACTTTAGACTCATTCATCATACGCATTCTCAAGCTCATAGGATACAATCAACATTCAGCTTGCTCAAGCATCACAACATCAATAGCAATCAAAAAGCAGTAAACCGGAATATATTAGAGAGAGACGGTGGCCGATTTCGAATTTGAAGCCTTAAAAGTCTCCCAGGCCAAGAATAGTAGAGCAAGATGTTAGCCATACTTATCAATTCACTCCTTCAAAATCAGATATCGCAATCTCGAGCTCATGCATAACACACGACAACTTCTCTTGATATGAAATAGAGACAAGAAATCCGTCATCCGTCATGCAAGGCCACTCCGCCAAGTTTGCAATCTTTGACCTCCTTTCCTTATTCTGAAAGAGTGAAACCATAGGCATTCAAGGGCTTGTTAAATCAGAATGAAAAAAAAGAAAGAAAGAAAGAAAGAAAAAACAACCATTCAACCACGCTTTCGAGACACTGAATTCTTCTTCTTCCACCGGTTTGGGTGTACACGGGTGTGAAATCGAAACAGCAGTTTATACGCCCTTGAATCGATGGAGAGAAGAAAAGCCGGAAAGGGCGGGCAGGAGAGGCGCAGCAATTCTGTCAGGTAACCCAGAACAAAAAAACACACATACTCACAAGCAAGCGGGAGCAAACAAACAAGCAAGATAGGTAGCAACAAACATGTCAGCTGCCCGTATAGTTAGAAAAGCTAGTTTGCCTGGAAGAATTAAATAGTGTTCTAGCAGCTTGACAATGGTACAGATCAAAGAAATTAAATGGAAAGGGGAAAGATAAAGAGAATAGAAACATGGGTAAGTTATCCAGTGCGAGCAAAACTTAGCCATGAAGGAGCTGGGATGATAAGGCAAGATACAGTGACTTTTGTAGGGAAATGAAGGGAATGAATGGATACAGGTGAAAAAAAGCTGCGTTGAAACAAAGATATATCAGTGGGAGTGCAAAAGAAGATATAATAAACAGGGGATAAAAAAATCATACAAGTAGTTTCCTCATGCCCCTCCCCTGCCCGGCTTTGCTTTCAACTCACATTTTGACCATGCCCAAACAAACAAGATTGCTTACTTTCAGGGCAAAAAGAAACGAAAGGAAACAAAATGAAGCAGAGAAATGACCAGATTCTCCTCCACATCATCCTGAACGGAGCGTATTAAAGTAATAATAATAATAAAAATCCTCGGAGATTTGTTGCTGACTGGTTGGCTGGAGGCGGGAAACAGGGAGCAGAAACAGAAGAATGAAGTTGTTCACAATTGGTGACCTTACCAGATCACCAAGAAAGAATAGGGTGGAAAGAGAAGAGAGGGGTTGTGGAACAAGTAGTGGTCATTCACAAATTATCCCAAACTGAGGGAAATAGTTTCGTTTGCTATGGACACAAAAGAAGAGAAAAGAAGAAAAAACAGGAGAAAAAGAGGTTGACGGGAAACAATAGAAATAATTTTTGAAAAAAAAAATGTATGAAAAAGCAGCTTCCTTTTAGTATCATGAACGTAACAACTCACTCGCGACAGTGAAAATTGAAAAAGAAAAATAAAATATTGTCGAGAGAAAACAGCAACCAGTCAATTTCTCATTTGATCTCCTTTCCGGTCTGACGCTTTAGTATTATTATTATTATTATTATTTAATGCCTTATTTCGAAGGCTATGCCATGATACGGCAATCAGCAAGGACGAAAAAGGCTCGATTCTCCGATATGTATTGTGAAATTTATGCCAGAAGCGGTTCGTCTAATTTCGGCTCCGCCCCGGATTCCGGTGTCGTTTCCTCGCCAAGCAGGATATCATCTTTCGGTGCTGCGGGAAAGTCTGTCTGTGTGATGGCGGGCTCAGTAGCGTCATGCTCAGCACTGGTGGCTTTCGCAACATGTTTAGCTATGGGGTCAACGGCGGGCTCTTTGGCGGATTTAAGCCCGGACTGGGCCTGTGAGGTTGCTGGGGTAACTTGTTCGACGGGAGGGAGAGAGCGGGCGGAGCCCATATATTCGTTAGCCTTTGCACGGTAGTCGCCCACGTACTGCTTGACGATGTGGGTGGCATGGGCTGTCTGCTGACCCGCCATCTCCTTCACTTGGGTGGCTTGGGAGTTGACGATTTGTTGGATCTGGTCGATCTGGGAATCAATGAGTTCTTTGTTGTTGACGTAGACTAGGGGTCCCAGGTATGCGGCAGAAAGGAGGATGAGGGACAGCCCCCAGACAGGGAGGAAGCGGACAAGCCAGTACGAGGTCAACGCGGCAGAGAATGCCTGATTGCAAAGGAATATATGGGTTAGATCGATTGGTATGTATTAGTAGTTGGGGCAGAAGGAGCTTACGGCAAGAGTATAGGTGAGATTCTCCGCAAAGAGGATGCGCTGGATCTCAATGAGAAAGAAGTCCATCAATTGTTCTAGATCTTCCAGGATGCTTTCTACTGTGTCTTTAGGAATTGTGTAGTATTTGCGAGGGCGGGAGGAGCTGGCTAGGCCGCGAGACAAGAGGACTTTTCCGGCGATTTCGAGGGCAATGGTGACTGGATATCAAAAATGTATAGGTCAGACGACAATCTGTGAAGTAACGGGATTGAAAACTCGGGTGGTTATCTCACATCCAAGAGCCAGATACGAAAACTTGAAGAGCCATCGTAACAAGGGGAGGTATCGGGCTGCAACAATAAGACTGACAATCGAGACGAACGAGAGCGCGGTAGTTCGAGGGCGCTCCCACTGGAATATGATATCAGCTGTTTTGAAACGGCTAGACTTGATTCTTTATGTTTTAAATGTGAACGTAACGAGGATTGGGGAAACTAACGCTTAACAAGCTGTAGATGTGGGAATGATAGTCTGCGGGAAGCTCGGAATTAGCACGGACATGGGCGGTGGACTAATAATATAGAACTTGTAAAACGGCATGCAATTGCACTTTGCACATACGAGTCAAAGGTTGCCCGGTAGCAGTGGTATCAGTGGTCCCATTGGTTTTACCCTTCGCGCTTCCTATGTGGTGGAATAAATCTATATATAATCATAGATAGATTAGTATGGCTCCATCTAACTTCCTCCCAATCTGTCCAGAGGCTCCTATTGTCCGCACCTTTGTCAGAATACATTTTTTCCGTATTGAAGAGCATCGATCTCGGTCCCTACGAAGAGTTTGTGAGGACGGCTTGTTCTGGTATCCCGGCAAGGTGGAACTGGAGCGAGAGGGGATTGACTAGGCAATGCAAAACACCACAATGTCAATATTCATGTCTTGTTGCTTGCAGCAGAGCACACCAAGGGGGGGAGAATAAGCAAAATAGACATACCTTACTATAATGTGCATGAAGCGGTTCTGCTGGCTGGGGCATCAGATGTAGGGTATGTAGGGCGCAGGGATTTACCTAAATGAGGGCCTCTGCCCGACTGTGTAGATTCCTTCGCCATGGGGACGAGCCGGAAATGTGTGCGATGTAGATGGAGGATGAGCAACAAGCAGCTGAAGTGTGTGGATGAAACAGCAGACGGACACTAGAGGCTATGGGGAAGAGGAAGGAGAAGAAGAAGACGAAGAGATAACAACTGGAGATAGACGTATGGCGTGTGTATGGAGTTGTATGGAGTTGGGTGTGTGTGGTGGAAGGAGGAAGAAATAAATGCCCGATGTCAGATGTCAGTTTCAGGTTTTTGGGAGAAAAAAAGTCGGGAGCCTTGAGCTTCGCTTGGACCTCGCGACGACACAATAAATAAATTAAACCGGGTGCTTCCAGAGACAAAACTGACATGTAGTAGTGATTATTATAAGTGAAAACCAGCCAGACAAACTGTCTCTACACCCATTCCCTATCTCTTCCGCCCCTTTCCTCGTGCCGCCCGACTATCACGCGGTGTTTTTGTATCAGGGGTTGGCAGCACACGACACTCTGGCATGTGAGAGCTGACATTGAACTCGTCATGATATACCAAAAACAATAAATAATTAATTAAAATAAAATAAAAAATGAAAATAGAATAAAACAAACACTATATTATCATTAACCTCTCTTCAATCAGGAATCTGTATAGCTGTTACTCAAACTCCAGTTTACCCGACCAACCTTCAATGTATATATATATATGTATATATATATGTATCTATGTAAGGGCGAAAACCGAGACGGAGAAAAACGGGGACATCAGCTTACACAAAAATCAAAAATCGAGTTGCGCCTCTATCATCACCCTCAAATATCAACGGAAGAAAAATAAAATTAAAAAGCTCAAATTAACTAGTAACTACGAGGCAGATCCAGCACATTCTCACTGACATAGTTCATAATCATCTCCTGATCAAATCATCAGTTCTTCGGTCCCCACATCCAAAGCAGAGTTACCATGATGATTGTCAGGAAAGGAGGGAAAGATACTCTACTCACCCGACTAACAGGCGCAATCCGCGGCACAAAGCATTCCCTCAGATACCGCTCTACGTTATACTCCTGCGCATATCCCATCCCACCATGTGTAAGCACCTGAAAAGAAATTCATTAGCAACCATGGAAGAAAAGGAAAACAATAAAAATCTACCCAACTTACCGCTCTCTCACACGCCGTAAACGCCGCCTCCGCCGCCAGGTACTTGGCCGAGTTACACGCAACCCCAACTGCCTTCTGCGTAATAGACTTATCAGTCTTGCTGGCATCATATAGATTCGTGGCATGGTATGTGGCTAGCTTTGCTGCTTCAAGATTCATGTAAGCGTCTGCGAGCGGGTGGGCGATGGCCTGGTTCTGGCCGATGGGCCGGCCGAAGACGATGCGCTCCTTGGCGTACTTGGCCGCCTTTTCGAGGGCGACGTAGCCTAATCCCAGTGCTTCGCCGGCAAGGAGGCAGCGTTCGGCGTTCATGCCGTGGAGGACCTAGGGGGTTGGTTAGCTAATATAATGACGGACGACACTGACCTATCTTTTGCTCGTTATTCCTTATTGAATATGCGGGGGGAGAGGCTTACGATTTTAAAACCGTCGCCCTCGCGACCAATGAGGGAATCCGCAGGGATACGGTAATTGTCGAAGAAGACCTCGTTCGCGTCAACGGCTCGGCCGCCCATCTTCTTAATCTTGCGCAGCTCCAAGCCCGGCGCATCCTTGTCGAAGTCGATGAAGAAGAGCGACAGGCCCTCAGATGGTTTCTTCACTTCCTCGAGTGGTGTGGTGCGAGCGAGCAGGACCATTCGCCTGGCGACTTGGGCAGAGGATATCCAACTTGAGAGGAACAGTTAGTTTCCTTTTCTGCCGAGTGTGTTTGGGGGGAGATATTTTTGTAACTGGAACAACCGGTTAGTAATTTACATTTTTTGTCCAGATACCCTATACGAATCGCCGTCCCTAATCGCCTCTGTGCGGAGTTTCAACGTCTCGAGCCCCGTGTTTGGTTCCGTGCTGGTTTTGTAATATTTTTTTTCGTCAAGACCACAATCCGAGATGCCACAGTATCAGGCTCGGACTTGTCCGACTTACACTCCAAAACAAACTCTGTAATCCCCAGCGATTAACCTAGGCAACATCTGCTGCCTTTGCTCTTCCGTCGCGAATTTGGTAACGGGCTAGATTATGTGCGGATATTGCTTAGCATTACCAGCTGGGTCACATATCGGCATATGGCATGAATACCTGAGTAGCGTAAACATTGGCGTGAATCGACTGCGCACCAGCAAGGCCGGCACCGCTCCTATTTGTACCTGGTTAGCGTTCTTATTTCGAAACAGGTCAAAATGAATCGCAGGAGAACGCACTGCGCAATCGTCTGTAACATCATCGTCGCTTCTGATATTCCCAGGCCAGCTCCTCCCAGCTCCTCGGGAAGAGCGATTCCTATCCAGCCATCTTTAGCCAACGCCGCGTGCAGTTCATGGGGGTATCGGCCCGATTCATCGTGCTCCGCCCAGTATTCCTACGAAATATTTGGTCAATCCAATTCCTCCCCGTCCATGTGTTCGAAATCTAAATGCCCGGTAATCCATGATACGCAAGAAAGAGAAAAACTACGCACGTCAGGAAAGTTCGAGCAAATCTTCTCTATGGCATCTCGGACCATCAGCTGGTTTTGCGAAAAGCAACTAAGATCCATTATTTTACTGGACGGGGAGGCGGAGAAAGATCGCGACTGTAGCCATTGTTGGTCCGCGGCGATTCTTGGCATGCGGGCTTGGCGACTGGCGGAGCTCAGGAGGGAGCGGCGGAGGAGGCGCGGGATCATCGTGATTGATGGGCTCAAGATCGATTCTCGTTTGTCAGAAGGATCATAGAGATGTGGATATTCATCAAATAATTCAACAAAGTTCCAGTGGGTCGGACAATTGGTGTCTACAGGGGTTTGTTGTTCACCTCTATTCCTGACGTTGAGTGTTCAGTATGTAATCCTTCAACGGAATGTGAATGTAGATAAGTAGATAACATGAAATAAAAATTCAATATCGAGAAACGTCGCGATTCAGCTCATTTAAATAGAGACAACTCTTTGAAACTCAAGACATTGAGTTCGGGAAGGTTCCGAGATCCCTTCCGGGTAGCAGCTTTGACGGCGGTGGTTGCTGGAGTGGGGCCGAGCAGCTGGTGGAAGAGTTGCTGACCCCAAGTCTGCTAATTTCAAGCCACTCTGAGGTAGCAACAGCACCTGGAGGCCGCGCCTCGAGAGGTCATCTTGAGTATCTCGACACAGATTGTCAATACGTTTGGGATAGAAAACCCAAGGTCTGGTCAGGACTTGAACCCGTCGGGCTTGGTCATGTGATGTCGCGGCTGCCAAGGCGAGCTAGCTAGTTAGTCATCCATGGCTTGTTTGGGCGGCTTTCCCTGTTTGGCGGCGACTTCGACGGTGAGCGATTCATCTCCAACCATCAACACACAACAATACCACACACCATTACCCCAATGTGTCCTCAATGTCACTGCAGCTAGTGCTAGACTGCGAGATATTGGCAAGAGGCTAACTCACCTAACTGAGGCCTATTTCCATCTCCTTATTTGTTACGTCGACGCGTCGCCTCGCGTTGTGTTTACTTCACAACCATGGCCTCTGCAAGCACAACGAAGGCGCAGAGGGCCGTGGGCTCGACCGCCTGGATCGCGGCTGAGAGGGAGAATATCCAGTTACTGATAAACCAGGAGATGGAAGAAATCGACTATCCTGTGCAGAATGAGATGGATTGGCTGAATGAGCATATGGCTGAAATCTTCAGTAGGAACCAATTGTACGACCAACCACCTAATCCCCCTTTCATCTGTCTTGATTTATAGCGAGCACACAAGGGAATGGGGTAGCGTGGTACTAATGCATACAATAGTAATGTAACTGAGATCTTCAAGACGCCGGGAAAGTTAAGAGGGAAGACTCCAAGAACTGCCAGGAAACATAAGACCCCACGAGAGGCTCGGGTTGTAAGTGCATTGCAATATTATTCTGTGGCCTGGTTCTTCGTCATGAGTGGTTGATTGCTTCATAGTAATGCGCGACTGTTGACACTTTCTAGCCCTTGGGCGACATATTCTCGGCACAACAGAATGTGCGAAACAGCCCTGCGCCGCCTAATCGATTCCACCAGGATATCGCCAAATTGGCTCCGAAGTCGTCCCCAAAAGAGCAACCAAAATACTCGTCCCCAGTTCAATATCACCAAACGAAACAACCAATTTATAATACTGACTCTGGATACCATGGCATGCCCGATGAGGATGATGAAATGGATCTTGTATACTCGGAACCGCACAATGACCCGGAGCCGGGATCAAAATCGGTCCCAGAACCGGAACGACAAGCAGGATCGGAGCAGGCGTCAGAAGAAGAGCCAGAGCCACATTCACAGTCAAATCCAAACCTTGAAGCGCAGCAGGTACTCGAGCCGGAATCAGAGCCCGAATCACAACATCAGCGTGGGCCCGAACCTGTTGAAACAGATACCCAACCACTTGAAGACTCGACCATTGTTATTCCTCGCGATCGCAATGACCTCAGCCCGTCTGTTGATCGACGCACAACCGATGCTTCGTTCCACTCCGCAAGAGAAGTAGCCCCAAGTAAGGAGAGCACGGTGGAACCCATGGATATTGACGATTACAAATCCACCCCCATTGCTGCCCCTAAACAGGCCTCCAGTGTGCATAATGAGTCACCTCAAGAACCGGTTCATCTCCCTGGAAGTTTTGACACCACACCGTTTGAAAAAGTTAGTACGGCTGAAGTAGAAACTCATGAACATGATGCCACTTTCGATCATCATTTTGACGACATTGGATCGCCTTCGGATGGCTCAACTCCTGACCGCCCTCCCATCCGTAAAAGTAGCTTGAGCTTTGCCTCTCTACCAGCTCGGGAGCCAATAACAACAAAACGAAGCATGGGGGGCCATAGGATGTCGAGAACCAGTCATATTGACCCTTCCAAATCAATCCAGGGAGGTTATTATGGACGACAAACTGGAGGCGCAAGAATAACCCAAATTTTACCGGAAGGGCACGCCGAACAAGAAAATGTTGAGGAAAATACGAAGTCTGCTGAAGATCGCGCTCCTGCTCTACATGAGGACTCAGAGCTTACAACGAAGGGTGCAAATATTTATAATAAATCATCTACGCAGCTGCTCCACGAGAAAATCAATATGCTTGGTAAATCTCAGCCATCGAGGAGTACCAAATCAATCCCAGCGCCAGCACCCAATACTGCTTCCCACATTCAATATCCCGAGTTGTTGTCGCAAGTCGAACCTGTTGTCGATAAACCAAGGAGACCATCCCTAGTTACGACACAAACTTACGATAGCCGAACAGCGCCAACTAGGTCGCCGCAACAGTTCCAACCTTCCCACTTTATGAGAGATGCGACCCCTGAAGCCCCCCCACACCTTAGCCGGGCTGCAGCTCAAGAAGTTAGTATGTCTAGGATTATGCACAGCCGATCGCCAGAGAAGCGTTCCCCTGCGGCCAAGCCGTTTGGTGCCACTGGTGCTTTTCATTCGAAGTCGGCGTCAACCTCGATAATTACAAGCCCCAGGGCGAATACTGTACGTCATCAGAGAACCACATCTAATCGTGAAACTGTTACGCCAGTTTCCTCCCCAAAAAGGGATGATGGCCCTCTGAGTGCCTCCAAATCTAGACTACAGTCGATCATGAAAACTGCCAAAGGGCTATTTACCAGTACGGGCAGTGTATCTGCAGCGGCAAAAATGGAGGCTTTGACTTCATCACCTACACGTTCCCATACGGGCCTCTACCCAAATCTTCAAGAAATGTTCTCCCAAGAACCTCAACCTCCTGCAACTCAGAGCCCTTCGTTACAGGAAGGACGACGAACTAGGAGTTCGACAGAGAGGGAGGAAAAACGAAAAGAGAAAGAGCGCCAGGAGGCACAACGAATGGAGGAACAATTGCGAAAAACTCGAGAACAAGAAACGCAAGGGCCAGCCATGATAAATTCCGCACTAGAGCGACGTCTACCACCCAAATCAATGGGAATACCGGCTGCCCCAGAATCACTTGCAACGAGATCTAGTCCCAGAAGACCACCAACGCAACAATCTGTACGTGAACCGGAACAAAGCCGGGAAGCGGAGAACAAATTTACTGTTCCTGCGAAGCAACATCCTCAACCCAAGCAAAATGAGAACCGTCGTCCTGTAAGACCTACGAGGGAAATCCAGAAGCCAAAGCCTCAGCCGGTGTCTATCCGCGTTGGAACTCTTTCACAACGCATCCCGTTGTCCAGTTCCTCACTTTCGTCCAGTGTCCAAGAACCGGCGCCGAACCCGACTCCAGCAGCAAAACCTCCCGCACCAGCCGTGAATAAAAAGGGAAGCAAGTTGTCAATGCAGACGAATACATCTACTAGTAGTTTCAAGAGCGCCACCTCTACCACGAGTTTGAAATCGAAGGCCGCACAGGCGGCGGAGAAAAAGAAAGAGGTAAATAACTTATACATTTTTAATTAACGGCCAATTCTAATTGAAATTTTCAGGAGCAACGTGAGGCCCAACGGAAGCTGGAACAGCGTCGAGAAGCAGAACGGAAGCGCGTAGCTCATCAGGAAGAAGCGCGCCGACAAGAGCAGGCCAGTCGTGCTGAGGCTGAACGACGAGAACGGGAGCGATCGGTAACGGACGACCCCAAGAAACTTGCCCATAAGCAAGCGATAGAAAAGAGACGGTTGGAGAATGCACGGAAATTAGAACAACAGCGCAGCCAACAGCCAACGCCTATTAATGACCTGGTGAGCTTTATAATCCCTGTTCTTTTCCTAAATTACTTAATTCCTAACCTGTAGGGAGTTCCAGGGTTCAATTCTTCACCAAGAGAAGATTGCTTTGCAAGGATCTCAGCGCAATGACCTACCATCCACCAGACCTTCGAGGCTGAATAGTACACAAGAACAAGCTCGTACTGTCAATTACCCACCGCCAAACCCCGCCAAACCCCCAAAGAGAGCTCTCGAGGATGAAAGTTCAGGTCGTCCGGTTACCGGGAAAGTAGGAGCAGCTATTCACCAGGTGGACGGCAAACGTCGGAAGACGGATGACGAAATTGCTTCCGCTGAGCCACCCGTTCGATCAACGATGGCACCTCCAATCCGCCAGTCCAACGTTCGCAAGGTATGTCATATGTATCCCCAAATGTTGAAATGCTCTAACATCAGACAGGAGCTTCCCAAACAGCAAACGTACAATCACGGGTATTCGACAATGCAGCCCCCGCCAGTCCCCCACCAAGCCGGCCCATCGATTTTCAAGAACCCTCCAGCGCCACGCCATTTCCAGCCTGTACCTCCCATGCAATCGCAGCAACATCGGAACGGTCACCCGTTGGAGATGTCAAAATTTGCCAACGGTAAAATCCCGTTCGCCGACAACGCCAACCCGCCCCATCCCTCCACTCATAAAACCCCTGCGCAAGGCTCGCAGAAAGTTCTCAAATCCTCCCCTGCCTACCCGAATGGTGATAGCATCAAGCTCCCCGAAATCCTCACAGACAGCGAGGATGAGGACTCGGATACCGAACCCTACAACGTTCCCGATTGGGCCAAGCCTGAAAACCTCAATAACATCCTCATTAGCCAGGAAGGCAAGGATGGGGAGCAAGTATTCGGCCCCTCCGCTCCGTTGCACATGGAGGAGATATTTAAGGATAACAAGGATCGATTTAAGCGTTTCCGCGATCGGACTAGTAGTGCCAATTGGGCTGGGCCGGACGGATTGACGCAGGATGAAATCAAGTGGGACTTAGCGGAGAGGGAGCGGTTGAAGAGGAATGGCGGATGGACGTTTGGCCCTTAGCAACGGGCAGCGATGCAAAAATCAAATGAAAAGTGGAAAAATTCAAACATATCTCTAGATTCATAAGTAGTTGTAGGAATGATATAAGTTACTCAGTAGAGAACTTTGGAAACAATAGATTCAGATATTTCACTCATTTCATTGAAACTTTAGTACTTGAAGCTCAGTGATCAAACTTAGTATCATTTTATATCATACATTTCAACTCTTGAAAGAGTTTAGAGAGAGTGATGCTTTTAGTTTTGATGATGAATTTTCTTCTGACATCTTAATTGCTTCAAATTAGATCTCCCAGACATTCTGCTAGTCGTATAACTGCAGTGGTTATATGATTCACATTCACTTCTTTTATATACAGAATGCTCAAAGTAGCTAGAGAAACAATAACAACAATAGCAATCAGATTAATTATCAATATGTAGTGTATATGATATTATTAAATATACTGCTTATATATATGTGTTAGAGATATTATCTCGTATCGAGAATCTTGTAATGTCTTGCTATTTGACATCTCAGCACTGCCTCTCTCCTTTGATCAAGCATTCTCTTCCTTATAAATACTGCCCAGTTATCATGTAATTATCAGAGTAATCATAGTCAATTCAATTATCTATCGATATTCAGTATTTGGGTCAATATTCGGACATTATCCTGTTTCGACAATATGAAAGTTAATTTAGATATGATTTTTGATATAATTAAATGATTTTTAAATCTAATTGTGATTATATTTACTTCTAAAGCTATATATAATGATGGGAAAGTGGCTCACTCAGTTGTGTGGCTCACTGCCTTATGAATTATTACATTCAAGTTGTATAAAAATACTGATAAGCAGTTATCAATAATGTAAAATATATTACTAGATTAGAAAACCAGTATGGCTTTATTTAGTAGAATAAGAAGATAGACGGTATATTCTAACTAGATATCATCAGATTTGTATACAAATTGTGTCTGGTTAAATGATGTGTTCAAACTTAATACATGGTTTTTCTATGCCAAGAGCTGACACAATTTTCGAATGCACCTTGATTGGTCGCGGCCCTGAGGTCTGTAACAATCCAACCCAAAAACAATCAACATCACACTTCAAAACAATAAATGATTTTGCATTGCTGCACTTAGAAATCAGGTCCGCTGGTGGCACTCTCTTTCCTCGAAGCACCAAATTTTTTCTACTTTTCCAAAAACATACCCGCCTCATCGAATATCGTTTCGGAGATGGAGTCGGCATGGATACCGCGCATTTTAAAGCCCGACTACAGCTGGCCACACCCGATAAGGTCACCAATTTCTACAATAACTCCTCCAGTGCCTGCTGTGCCAAGCAGAATTTCACTACGATTCTGGGCCATTGTCCACAAGGCTCTATTTGCTTTCTCCAAATATTATTGCTCTTGGTTTGATATACCGTTCGGCAATATTGCCGAATTGCCCTTTGGGCTCCTCATGAAGTGGACAGATCGAACATCTCTGGAGGAAGTAGCCGCGATGCAAATGGCTCGTGCTGCTGGAATGCCTGTTCCCAAGTTCCTGAACTGCGGAAAGCATATCGGGGATCCATCGAATCGTGTTTTCTCAATTCTGATGACAAGGCTGCCGGGCATAAGTCTGATCAACTCAAGGGATCCATTTGATCCAGACATTGAGGGCCCGTGGATTCATGAGCTGAAACTGTGCCTGGATTCGATGCGTCAATGGCGCATACCACCACCTTATGACCAAAACTGTATCTGTTCTGTGCTTGGAACTGCCATTCGGAGCACTCGAGTTCCAAACCACGCCATGGGCCCATTCCCTAGTGAAAAAGAGTTCACACAATATCTTCTCTCAACATCTTCCGATCACAGTTTTCAGTCAAGAGCTGAGTATGATGAAGTATGCGTTCGTGCAAAGCGAATCGATCAACGGCCGCATCGAGTTACCTTCACTCAAGGAGATTTCAAAGCACACAATATCCTAGTTGATGATGATGGGCGTTTGTCGGGTTTTCTTGACTGGGAGTCGGGGGGTTGGTGTCCTGAGTATTGGGAGTTTACTACCGCAATGAGATTTGGACGGTATACTTGGTGGTATCAAGTTTGTATGTGGATGGGAGGTGACCAGTTTCTTGAAGAATTGGATGCTGACATTGCGGTAAATCTGTTGACTGTCGATTCATATATAGGAATGTAAGAAGGAAGGCTGAGTGTAGTATATTACGGGGTGAATTTTGTTCATCTGGGAGGTTAGATTATTACAGTGACTGCTGCCTCTCTAGTTAGATATCCGTTCACTCACTCTCATCCTCAGTTTGCTGTTTCGACTTTTCCTTATACGAGTTCTGGCTATTAATACCTCCTGGATCTTAACTAATGACGGGAATTCCTGTGAATTATGTAGATTTGTATTTGCACTCGAGTTAGATTTTTGTTTGTCAATGGATCTTAACTACAGGGAGCAACTCTAAACAGAACCTCCTTCGAAGTATAATAACTAGTGGAAGGGGACCAAAAGCTTTCGATTAGCAATGCATAGAACAACGCGTAAATTGTCACGAAATCATCCCATCCAAAACTGCTGCCCAGCAGCAACACGCCTCCTGCACCGTCATCACATACAAGCTCCCTTTTTCCTTTTTCTCTTCCTGCTCTTCGCCTCACTTAATCCTTTTTGTTTTCCAAATGATTGCCAGTGTAGCCTTGAAAATGCGCCTACCGCAATTTGTAATTCTGCCAAATCAGACTAAATACAGGCTCGGCCATCCAGCAGCAACAGCGGTGGCTGCTGCTTCAACCAGCAACGTTCACTGTATCAATACGACTTCACTGATAGATTCGCAAATATTGCTGTTATCAACTCCCTCGTTAACCCGGTCAGATGGTGCACAGTGTTGAGCGGACGACCGGGCGAGGTTGGTTATTTGCTATTGCGCCAAATCTATGCTGATTCCCAATTTCGAAGCATTCCTGTTCCAATTCAGCGCAGCTGCTGCACTGGACAATTCCATTTTCAATCAGCATTTGCAAAATACTCAGAATCCACACCCGGCAGGAAATACCGGGAATGGAATTAAGTTTTCCGTCGTGGGTTCTCATAATTTGATCAACTTGGGCGTATTTCGCTTCCGCGACGGCAGCGATTTGAACCACGACGCAGAGGAAGTTCGACTTGAATAGTCCGGTGGTTGAGCCGTGTTCCGTTATCCAACCACTGCCCAGGTTCTTGACGTGGTACTTAGTTCCTCCTGACGGAATTGTGTGAAAATAATAGCCCCAGTGGAAATCGTTTGGACGCGGTGGGTCAGATCGGAGATAAAGAACGATATAAAGTGAACCGAGAGCGAGAGAACGGAGCGCTTCCTCCTGCAGCCTTTTGATTTCAAAGGCCTTTTCTTTAGCTGCCTGCTGCGCGGGTATATGGGTAGAAGATTTGGTTGACTGTCCAAGCATCTTGGGAACTGGTAAGTAAGACAAGATAGATATTTGTAAATGTGGGGGATGTTTTCAGTATTGCATGATGGATGAGATCTGAGGATACAAAGAAAAATTTTTTAAGGGAGACAGAAAGGGGTTTATATATGGTTTTCAATGGCCTTGAAGGCCAGCTGCCGACCGGGCTGTTCAGAGAGTAGCGCCCATGCATGGTTAGAACTCATGAATCGAGTGATCAAGGGCATGAGAATGAATCAAATCTGAGCCTGCTTGAAACAACACAGCCTGAGACTAATGCAGCTACAACCAGGGAACAATGACCTATCAGTTCCGATCTAATCATGGTTGTGAATGCAGAAACTCAGGATTTGTGCTTGGAAGGTGTGAATCTAGCACATGGTAGTAGACGCCGTGAAAGACCCTCCAAACACCCCTTGAGATTATTTTTCGAGTGTATTGTGTCACAGATATCGTTTGGCATGGGTATCAGCCATGTATATATATGTATATGTGTGTGGAACTATAAATTTAATAATTCCGATAATTTCTATATCTATTTAGGTAAATTCATATAATAATTAATACTTCAAATTTAGTAACTAGACGAACCCATCCTGCCAACGAAAACCCTTCCAGGGCCTAGCGTCGAGCAGATAACATAGGGGTCATCCCTGGAGACCGGCATCCTGACAAACTTCAGTACATACCAGCCTAAACTTCGAGTAGCTAGCACTCACCTAGAGCCCTTTGTACTGTACAATACATGTGTCTGCGCCCTAGGCTTTTGTCGTAGGTGCTAGACACAGACACTCCCTCAACCATACACCATAACAGCCGACAGTTCTAGAGATATGCCAGATAGGGGTGCCATGTCACAGAGGGCATGAATGCCTTTTGAATGTGCGAGTGTCAGGCCTGGATGGGCTTGACCCTGCGTCAAGCACCCAATCAAGACCAAACGCCATAGCACGAAGCCTGTAATGACCCTATTTATAGTCAAAACACACTATTCCACTACCTGAGGCAGCGGTTAATCTGTAACTCACTTCATGCAGCTCAACTTCGAGAGAATGCTATATGGGGACCTGGTTAGAAGTCTGTACTCTGGATACTAGTACCAATGCTCTTGAGATGCCCAGAGGTTAAATAGCAGAACCAGATATGTAGAACGTAGATAGATAAACGCTGCAGTATTTCCTTGGTGTCTTCTAAAAAATACTAGTCGAGGGTTCTGGGCCAAGTGTAAAATCCACCGGTAAATGAGGCTGACCTGCTATTTATATAAATCTTCCAGGGATCGCGAGATAAGCACAAATCCTCCCACCACACCACAGCGTACTAACCATGGCGCGTAGACGCCGGGATTTCTCAAACACAGGCCAGAACGGAGCATCCGATTGTGGTCATTAGTACCTGATGGCAGAATCATGACCATACAGTTAATCATGATCCAGTGTCGTGTTGTTTCTCCCACAGACGATAATGTGCTTCCACACTTTTGTCACAACCCTACTCGCTTTGATTGGTGTGGAACTGGAAATGTTGAGCGAACATTCAAAGAAGCCTGATGATCCCTGTAGGCCGGGGAGGCTGGTCAACCTCAAGTCTCAAGGAGCCGGACGCCCCTCTTACCAAGGGCAATTTGGCCCGCAATATGTCCATATACCGGTACCGACTATGAATTGCCAACGATGCAATGAACCAGACCCTGCTTCGGCCCCTTCCTCCAGTATAAATATTAAACTAGCTTGCCCACCTGGACGAACTGTTTCCCGACACAGTTATTTCGGACGCTTGTTTGTCCTTCACATTCGGGGGTGCGCCTCCATTCGTGGATTCTGTGCGGGGGCCTGATCAAAGGAAGCTGGATAACTGCCGCCGCCGCAAGATCATCCATCAGCTATGACATCGTACAAACACCTTATCGACTCCAGTTCGCCTCCAACGCCCGGGGACAGCAGCCTCGAGCTGTCTGCCATCAACACACACCTAAGCCCAGAGCATGGCTCGCGAGCGTTTTTTCCTCGCTCGGTTGAAGGAACAAATCCAGTATCGAGACAGAATGCGGTGACACTCAGCAAAGCACCAGGCTATTTGGTTTTAAGCTCGATATGGGACTGTTGTTTGGCCATTCTTCCTGTAACTTTCATCGGTTCGTGCTGTCTAGTGGTTTGATTTTGGAAATGCTATATTTAAAAAAGCTTTTGTTTTGTGCTTCTTTTCTTCTCGTCTTTCTTCTTTCTTCTTTCTTCTTCTTTTGAGTTATACTCCTGAACCTGTCTGACAGTGAGAAATAGTCATTGCCATCTTAGCGGCTTCGCTGGAAGGGGACCTGAGGAGCAAACGTGGCGATCAAATCAAGGAGGCCACGACATTGATTCCCACAATTTTCCCGATTACTTTCGCAGCCCTTGTCGGCTATTTCTTCCGAATATATGGCACTTTTAGGGCCGAGAGAGGAATCAGGCTAGGGGTATGACATGTCTACATTTGTTCCTTCGATTTAACATATTCTTACGTCCTTTCCCCAATAGACGCTGGAACAACTTGTTGGGAGCTACTCCTTCTTTTCTGCCTTTGAGAGGCAGATGTTACTGAGGGATTTTGGTTTTGTTGGGTTGGTGATTATGGCTGTCTGGGCGCTTTCTCCCATTGGGGGCCAGGCCGGATTGCGCCTCCTGAGCACTTCGTTACAGCACGCCCCCTATAACGCCACTAACTGGTATCTCTCTCCTCTCTCGTTTCGCGATACCTCGTTGCAGGGCACTAGTGCTATGCAAACTTCCGGAGATCTAATTACTTCCGTCTACGTATCGTCGCTGATGGGCTCTGAAACCACTGCTGGAACAGGCATGGATCTTTGGGGCAGTGTCAAAATCCCAAATATAAATTCGCTAAAGCCAGGCGCGAACAACAGCGATTGGCGCACGGTAGACTGGAATTCTACTGTAGAATTCACGTCCCTCCTAGGTCTGCCCGTCGGCAGGCCCATGTCGGAGGGTAATATGACCTTCACCGTAACATCACATCACTTCGACGTCCAGTGCCTCAACAACATCCTCGCAGAAAGGAAAGATCTCTCCGCCCTGTCATATAATATGGTCAACGAGAGCAGCGGGCCCGGACACTCAATGCTCGTTCATCTGGCCGATGAACTTCCAGCAATGACCGACGAAGTTGGCGGTGACATATCCTTACGCGCCAAATTCATGTTCGGATCCAGAACCACACTACGCGATAATACGACATGGGGACTGGCGAACTGCACGCTCGGCAACCTGGCCGTCGACTCCCGTGTCGAATGTAAATCCGAGTCGTGCCGCGTGGTGGCCATGCGCCCGTCGCAGCGAGTCGAGAATCTCATAAGCCTCACCAACTTCGTAAACTTCACCCTAAATTTCCTCCCCACGGCAACCGACCGCGATAAATCGACAAACTACCTCTATTCTGCCACACTCACCGAGCGCTGGATGAACGACACCGCCCTCCTCTTCCGCGGCGGCCGAATCGACATGGACCTGTGGAAGCTGGATCCAAAAGTTCTCTCTGCCCGCCTGGAAACAGCGTTGAACACCTTCTGGGAAGCCGGCTTCGCGACCAAATACCGCGGGACATCTCTGCCAAAGGACCCAGCCGAGTACGAAGCAATGGGAGACTGTTCCTCCGTGGTGTCTCCATTGTATTGCTTTGTGCCCGTTCCAGCCAGTGGCGTCAGGCACATTGGCGAGGTGTACAAGTGCGACCGCGCATGGTTCGCCGTGTTTCTTATAATCTGTCTCGTGCTGCAGATTCTAGCGCTGGCCAGCGTGGTTCTGAAACGAATGACCCTCGCACCGGACATCCTGGGCTTTGTTTCGTCGTACACGCGGGATAATCCGCATGCGCCGGTGTCTGCGGGCTCGTCCCAGGATGGGCTGGTGCGGACGCGCATGCTGAAGGATTTACGGGTCATGCTGGGTGATGTGCGGTCTGCCGAACATGTGGGGCATATTTCCTTTGTGGCTCAGGGGGATGCGCCGATTGGGAGGCTGAAGAAGGGGAGAAAATATTTATGAGGGTATTTTATGTAGAGGAGTGTCTCGTGAGGCTTTATTGGCTGGTTTTTGGTTTTCGATTGTATGCATAAAAATAGTCGAAGGTGCATTTTATGATTCCCCAACGCGAGTTCCCCCCCCTCCTATGTTTTTCCCTACGTTGCGTTCGATATCTATATACCCTTAGAGCAAGGTTCTCTTTCTTTCTTGTCAGCTCTCGCAAGAAGTTATCTCTGAGCACATTGGTCTGTAATCCGCGGAGCTGTTTGACCTTCTACGTCTGGATCTAGCGAGCCCACATTGTTATTTGATTCTGCCCATTCAAATAACTAGAGAAGTTCAATAAAGATGACTTATTTTCGCTCCTCTAGTGGAGTGCACTAAAGCAATTAGGGGAGAAAAATGGGAAAGCGCGTAAGATATATACATACATACATACATACATACATACATACATACATATATATATATTGTAGAGAAAAGAAAGAAAGAAAAATGACCAGCGTAGGAAATCTAATTTGACATATGTAGAAATGACAACCTCAAATATATGTCGAATCCAATTTAACTATTTGTATAGATTGCTTCAAAAGTGTAGAGGAAATGAACCCATTCAACACTTAGGGAGTTCATCTAGGGTTTCCCTCGTTAGCTGAAACAGCAAGATAAGAAAAAACAAGGAGTCTTCCATACCTCTACAAGATTTCTCCACTAATACAGCGACATCCAGTTTTTCTCGTTTGTTTTGCCCCACGACCTGAAGACGATGGCCGTGTTAATTCTGTGTCCCTGGAGATCATAGATATATACTTGTGTAGGGAGAAAAATAAGAGCAAAGGGTTAAATACTTTATTGTCGTGGATGCTTCCCTTTTTTTTGCAGTTTAGGTATACTTCGTCATGTTTGCTATGGCGAAAGAGGTGCTATCTAATCCAACATTAGCTTTGATAGTTCAACGAGAATGGCAACATACCTCGTATTTTGCTTCCGCATAGAACTGCTTCTATTGGCCTGGGGTCCAATTGACTGAAGTCATCTGCTCTTTTGGACAAGCCTAGGCTAGATTCCGGCATGAAATCTTCCATATGGAGAGGGAGTAGTCCATCATATTCTTGGGTATATTCCGCAAAAACTGGCGCAATGATGCCCAAATAATAGGAAACGAGCGGGAAAAGCAAACAGGTGGAGAAATGCATCTTGGATTTCCTTGCCTCTGCGAATACAGGGGAATTGATGCGTTATGATAGGGTAGTCTGGGGAGGATTTGGTCGTCAATAGTTCATGAGAAACGGGCTGGTCATCATATAGGGGCCACTATAGAAGACTTTCCTGATATCTTCCGCAATTTCCATACTTTCCGACCTCGGGAACAAGTTCCCAGATAGAGAGGCAGCACCACTCGCAATACGAGTGGTGCAAGGGTTGAGGGGATGAAGAGAGAGAAACCGGAATGGCGCTAACAGCTATAACGGCAATGAGAGAAGATATGTATGTAGTTCATCTAAAGCTGGAGAATGGATGTTGAGCTTAATCGTGGCGAACACATAGACCCTGACTGGTCGAGCGTACATTCTCCGTTGAATAAAGCATACTAGTTAACCTCGGAAAGAAGTTCGAAACAGTGTGATTTTCGATTAGCCTTGCTAGAATCTTGGAAGGTAGTTTCTCATGGTGACCGTGTTTGTGTGGTTCTGGGTACGATGTATAAATACCAAAAGACATGTCAAGGGGCGACTGATGTTCCCACAATCAAGAACGCAGTAGGATTTTTCGAGTCCTGACGGCTATTATTAGCAATAGTGGATAGTTTTCACTTTCTCTGTTGAGTATCGAGGAACAATAGCGCATTCAAATACAACATGTCCATCTGCCTCATCGGGGGTAGCCAGACTGCTAGTGATCGGTTTCCGTAATCGGGATACAGTCCTCTGTTGACAACCACAGGAGGGACAGTCTGGGTCAGAGAAACTCATGGAGCCCTTATATCATTCAGCGAGAAATTACTCAAGAACTCTAACTGTACTGTACAAATCTTCATATGTAGAGAAGCCATGTCGGATGAATTGTTCCCTAACTGGCAGCAGTCATGGGCAAGTGAACAAAGCGGGAGAGCAGCTCTTTTCGGCTAATAATCAACAGGAAGACCATCTCCGTTTGTTTCACAAATTGCAAAAGAACAAGGGTTTCGCACGCTGTCCATGTCGTATATTAGTATGCAGGACCTAAACACTTTTAACCGGTGGCAAAGCCCTTCAAATAGATTGCACTTGGAAGTTGGTATGGAACGTTGCGCTATCGGTAAACTGATTGGTTCCCCTGAAAATATCAGTCAGTTAGCGGCGGCCTTAGAATCTTGGATCTAGCAGCTAAGGAATTGAGGGTGGATGGATTGAAAGATGCGATGGCACAATTAACAATCTCAGCCTCATGAGAGGTTAAAGAGCAATGGGTTTATGTCTGCCTTTCAAGGTGTTTGGTTAACAACGAGGAGGGATTCTGTGAAACTTACCCGAAAAGGAAGAGTCCTCACAATTAATATCACTTGGTATTTCGTTGTTGACGCTTAGGCGCGCTTTTTTGGGAAGATGAAGAATATGTGAAATCTAGATCCAACATGGTCTGCAACTCGACAGTGATAAAATGCAGGAAATATTCCGGATAAGTGTACTTGTGACAAATCCAAAGGAAAGCTATACTTTTCCCCCCAAAAGGCCGCATCTTCAAGCCAATGTAGAAAAACTGACCTTTGGAACAAGAGCCCCATAGCATACCACAATCACGGGACAAAGCCCAGAAAAAAGAAGGGATATGCAAGAAATTCGACATAATCTCGAACAAATCATATGAGAATGTACATTCCCCCAGTCTAACTCATGAGAGTGGCACCGTTAAGAGCAAGAGAATATACCACATGCACCTGGAATACGAAAACAATCTCTCACTTAAACCCAGGAGAGAAAAGTAAAATGAAAATAAAGTAGCACAAAATAAGAAGAGCCATGCTCATGCGCAGTGATACACTCTATTATTGCCCATAAAACCCGCAACAATTTGCAAGAAACTGAAAACAGCGCAGAACCGCATCCATGTTCGCAAAGGGGGAAACCAGAGGTAAGGAAAATGTTATACTCCCTGTTACTGAACAATCCTTCTCTATTTCTCCCCATCAGGCTCCATATCACTTATCCCGTCATCGCGCCCTTCATCCATCGCGTCTGCGTTGAGGTTATCCGAGTCTAAGCGGAGTAGTTCTTTATCGTGCGAGATACTCCGCCAGCCTTCAGGCGCGGACGGCTCCTTAATGTACTCAGACATGGGGAACTGTATGCGGCTGCGGTTAATATAGGTCATCATGAAAAAAGGGAATACACCAAAAAAAAAAAAAAAACATACATAATGGTCGTTTTTCTTCATTGTTACGACCCACGGAACATTATCGAACGTGACAGCGCGGAGGCGGAAATAGGTGTTATTGGGGATGATGTTGACCTGCTTGATGAATGAGTCAAGGTCTGGCGTTTTGACGCCGTTGACCGCCGTGATGAAGTTTGTCGGTGAGAGGCCGTATTGGTAGGCGGGCGAGCCCCGACTCTGTTTATAACGCACCAATTATTTATTTAGCTTATATCTTGTTTAATTTAATTGCGTTTTTAATGTTACGTACCCTCGCACTAACATAGACCTCACTATGCAACTTTGAAATCTGCTGCCGAACTGCATGATGCGGCTTCTGCAGCACAGCACCGCAGAATATCAACGCACGATCAGTCTCCAGGTCCTCTGTTGGAACAGTCTTGATCTTGACGCGCATTTCTTGGCCGTTGCGTACAATAAGCGCGTCGAGGGTTTCGTGGTGGTACATGATATCAAACTCCGAGACGCGAGTAATGAGCTTGTCGTTCAGCGTGAGGATGATATCGCCCTCCTCGAGTTGGTGGGTGTCCTCTGTGAGTGGGGATGCGCAGTCAACTTTCCGCACCATGAATAACTCATGGCGAGCGGGGTTAGCGATGGCAACCTTCTCGATCCATTCTTCCGACACTCCCATAATGCGCGCCTGGCTCATTTGGATCACGTAAGACTCCATATCCATGATTCGAAGCTTCGGTAAAGAACCGCTTTGGATCTGGTTGATGATGGGGAGGAGGGAAGGGGTTGCGAGACCAAGGTGGTATTCTACGTCTTTGTGAGAGCTAGCAGTGCGCTCGCCTAGGTAGTTTAACCAGAGTGCTTGGACGATGCCGTCCTCCCCGATCAGGACACCGTTGGAGCACTGGCTGCTTAAGCCGGTATCTACAGTGATGGCGTCAAGGTTGAGAGCACGGTACCGCGGGGCGGCTGCGTTGGGAGGGTATGGCCAACGGTAGTGATATCCGTAACCGCCCGTTTTTGGCCACGACGATGCGGGAAATTTCTGAATTGAAACCGAACAAAA